CACAGTGGGCCAGAAGGCCGGTGGAGGCGGTCAAAATCCCGGACGCGTTTTGAGCCCCAGAGTCGCTAAATGGGACTTGAACCGAACGTGTGACGCCACGAATGGATTGCTCTCCGAACGAGGAAACCATTGGTGAGGTCACACGCTCGGTTCGAGTCTTGTTTAGTGACACTGGAGCTCGAAACGCGTCCTGGGTTTTGGCCGCCTACGCCGGTCGTCTGGCCCACTGTGGGCCGGCCCTGTGTCCCTTGTTGTGCTTCGAGTCAGTGCTCGTGGCTCGCCCCCCACGGTGGGGCTACGAATTAGGCTTGACCTCTGAAGGGACGCGACGCAGGTTGACCTTGGAGGGACCTCTTCGCATGCCTTTTCCCCCCTCGGTTTGGCTGCCGCTTTCCTTTGGCCCAGGTAGTCCAAATCAAGTCAAAACAACGCCAAATGATGTCTTTTTGACATCGAAGTGGACGACATTCCGACACAAATCGGTCAGTTTGAGATCTTACTGACATGATTTGGCCTTTATTTTGTTCCCCCTGCGGGCACTTTGGTGACGTTGAACGCTTCAAACGAGTTTAAAAGAAAAATTTGACAAAATATTAAACGAAAAAAGAAAAATCTTTTTTGAGAGTGTATGGTGATGTGTGTCCGCGGCTGGCAGTCCCACGTGGTGACGAGTGGCTCCTAATTAGAGACTCACATTATTCATTGCTTCAGGCTGATTCCGAGAGTCGTCGCGCGGGTCCGTCTCTCTCGCACCCGGGGGGGAGGAAGAGGCTCTCGGAATCAGTCTGCTGCCTTTGTTTTTGCACCCTGCGCGGCACGGCTGTCTCCCGCCTCGCGGGTTCGCAATTTGGGTTTCGCATTTATTTTTTTCCCTTTTCTTTTTCTGTGAAAGACACACTGGCGGAAAAGCGGCACGCACCGCAAACTAGATAGATATGAAAACGTAACCATGCAAAAGAATATGCCTGCTGTTATTATTATACTGAATTTGTGCCCACCTTTTTTATGATTGTTTTTCTCTCGGATTTGAGTTGAGGGGAACCGAAGCGAGTCTGGCCGACCAATGACACCGCGCTCGAACAAATAACCGGTCAGGCCTTTGTTGACGCAAGTGGAGGCGCGCGAAGCCGTCGGCGTGGCCCAGCTGGAGCCGAAGCGACCAAAATACGCGCAGCAACAAACCGTCTGGAAGTCCGAGACCCGAGTCCCGGGTAGGGCAGGACGAAAGGCGGTCTGGTTCGGTCTGGTTCGCGCGGCCAGCGAGGTCGCCGGGACCAGTCCGGTCCTGTACTACACTGGAAAGTGCCTTATTCGCGTAGACCGCCGCCGGCTGGGTATCGCGGGTGGGCGAGGAGGTTTGTCTCAGACGCGTCGGTTTCCGCCGGTCGCCGGCCAGAGCGCGCTGGCGGAGTTTTAAGGACTCTAACTAAGCCGCACAGACGCGGCAAAGAGCAGCTGATGTGGCTACTTGGGGGGGGGGGGGGGGGGTCCTTTCGGGGGACACGGCGGACGTGCACCTCTGTGCGTGGCGTCCGTCGCGCCGCGCCGCCGCCCCCTCCATGCTGTGCGTGGCCGTGGCGGGCGGCGCGCGGCGGGCGCGTCCCGTCCCGCCCGGGTCGACGCGCCTCCAGTGTGTTGCCGGCAACGCTCGCGAATGGAGCAGCCGGCCCGCAGGACCAGAGTCCCCAGGACGACGAGCCGCAGCCGCCACTGCCGCCATGGGCGCACACTGGTCGGAGCAACTCCTGCAGCTGGACCCCCTGGTCCCCCTGGTCGAGCAGGGCTTCTCCTACGATCACGGCTACGAGCTCTGCGACTACCCGCCCAAGGCCAAGGATGAGGCGTGGCAGCGAGTGAGTGCCGCGAGGGGTGCCGTGTGGGGCCCACACTGTGGGGCTTACCGCTGACTTCGTCTTGCGACCGCCTGGACAGGGCGCGAGGGGGTAACCACTTCAAGAAATCGTGTACAGACTACCCGGTATCACGCTGTAATACGGGCGTGTTACACGTGTTCCCGGGCGGTCGTGAATGTGTTCACGCGTTCGCTACGGACCGTCCCTTGCCGCGATTTCCCATCCCGTTAATTTCATTTCGGAGTGAACGCCCGGTCGTGAATGTGTTAAGGTGCCTTGCCTTCAGCAAAATTCCATACTTCATTATGGGAAATGTACGCAACAATAGAGTGCGCGGATGCACCGAAAAAGTACGAACCGTCGGTCCTTGTTCCATAGAAACGAACTGATGTAAACTGGTTCGGAGAACAATTACTGAAGTACGTGCGCACAGTCCAGGCAGATTGTTGACCGGACTTGTTCCTTCCCGTCTTTTCCCGTCCTTTTTTGTTATTTCTCCGAGTGCTCGAGGCACCAGGACCGGCCGGAGCGCGGCAGGGCGGCGCCGCGCGCTTCCTCTTCCGCGTCGCGGCTCAAACCTGCACACTGTATCGTCGCTCTGTCTCTCTCGCACCTTTACGCGACGCCCCGTGAGTGCGAGAGAGACAGAGCGACTCTCGGAATCAGTCTGGGGCAAAGCGCCTCGGCCAAAGCCCGCACCCCCTCCCCCCCCCCTTGCCGTGCGCTAGATGTGAAACTGAGACATGTGTCGAAAAGACAAGAAAATAGACTCTCCCCTTCCCCCAGTGTAGCGGTCCTGGTCTGGCTTGCCCAGCAGTGTGTCACCGGGACCCTCACTGGCATGCCTCAATCTGCCTGCTGCAGTGATAAAGGGGCACGCGCCAGCCGCATGCAGCGTGCTGCAGTCTCTCTCTCTCTCTCTCTCTCTCTCTCTCTCTCTCTCTCTCTCTCTCTCTCTCTCTCTCTCTCTCTCTCTCACACACCCCTACGGGAGAGACACCCGTAGTGCGAGAGAGACAGCACGACGAATAGCTCTGTCCCGAGTCAGCCTACTGCGGGCCGCGGCGTGTCTTTCGGTCGCGTGATTAATTTGCATAGGCGTGATTGGGATTCGTCCCGCGTGGCATGCAGGTGCGTTGCAAAGGCCTAAAGGGGGCGGCAGTTTTGGTGTCTTTGCGGCCCTGTCTCTCGGAACTTGTTTGTACTAGGGGCCTAGGAACTTTTTTCGACTCTGAACTTGTTGAGCATCCGAGCATCCGTGCCTCGCAAACGGGTAGAGTTACACACACCGAAGTTCAGGGTTACTCAATTTTCCAGTTTTGGAGTGGGTGACTGCACTGCACTCGATTTGTTTGTTGTGACGGCCTGTGTGACCCGCGCCAAGTGCGAACTCCTCGGTCACGGCCTTGGTCACGGCCTCCGTCACGATTCGCGGCGCACTGCTGTGCTGGGGGCTGGCTGACGTGACCGCCGGCAGGGAACGCCAAAGCCGGCGGCTGAGCGGTTTGTTTACATCCAGCGCGCGGCGCGGCGCTGCGATGCGGGCCGCGGCCGCATCGTTCCCATTGCACGCACACTGTGGGCTTCGCCAATCATCTCTCGGGTTTGTAACCTAGCTCGCTGATTCCGGTCAGTGCTTTCGTCGCTCTGTCTCTCTCGCACTCGTGGGGCGTTCCGTGCGTTGGGTGAGAGACACGACTGCGCGACGAAAGCACTGTTCGTTCCGAACTGAGCGCGCTGCGTTGGTGACACAAGGGTGCCTGCAAGGGAGCTCCGTCCTACCTCCCCGCTCCTTTGCTCTCCCTCTCCCCCGCCCTTAACCCCATGGACTGCCTACCCCCTTTTCCCCTTCCAGTTTCCCCAAGCCCCGCGCCAACCGCGCGCCTGCTTCGCCTCGAGCCCCGTGACGGGTAGGCACGCCCGCTGCACAGCGGCGCGTTGAACTCGCTGGGTTGCCTACCTTGCTTCACTTTGTCCACTGGCCTCGCGACGCGCGACGCGCCCGCCAGCTGACTGCCCAGGCAACAGGCAAACGCAGTGCTGTGCAGTGTGAGGTCCTGCCGGGTCCTGCCTGCCTCCCGAGCGGTAGGTGACTTCCAGCGCACTGGAGTGCGGGGTGTTGCCTGCCTGCCGGCGCGGACCGCCAGTCTCAGACTCATTCCGAGAGTCGTTTTCGTCGCTCTGTCTCTCTCGCACCTACACGGGGCGCGGCGTGCTTGGCGCGGAGGCGCGGCTCCACTGTGGGCGACGCGTGGTCTGGCGTCGTGCCGCGCGGTCTGCCGTGGCCAGCGGGCTGCTTTCGAACAGAGCTCGCGACGCTCTGTCTCTCTCGCACTCACGCGGCGTGCCGTGCAGGTGCGAGAGAGACAGAGCCACTTTTGGCGCGGAGCCCTCTGGAGGACGTTGGGCTGTACCACTGTACCAGCTCGTCGTGCCTCGCGGCCGCTCGCGGCGCTCCTGGCTCCAGTCGGCCGTCGGTGCTGTGCTCGCGCAGTACAGTGTGGCGCCGTGCAGAGGCTGTGGCCGGGCGTGTGTTACGTGGCGGCGGGCTGGCTCCGCGGGAGGCCTGTCTCTCTCTCGCACGCATGGTGCGGCCCGTATAGGCGCGAGAGAGAGAGAGAGAGAGACCCACGACCGCACCGCGCGGAGTCACTCTGCCGGGCCACGGTCAGCCAGGCTAGGACAGGACAGGCTAGGCCAGGACGGGCTGGCCAGGACTATCCAGTGACTAGGTGGAGCCGCGCTTAGCAGCTTGTGGCGACGGATCGGCTGAGGTAGCTCCGAGCCCAAGCATGCAGAGCCATGGCGACTTTGACGACCAGCGCGGTGCGTGGGTGTAGGGCCTGACTGTAGCCAGCGCTACCAGTGTTTGACTGGAGCGGTTGGTTGTTGTTGTTCCGTTGCCAATTGCTGTGGCACTGTGTGAAAGGTGCTTCGCTCCGCTTGAACCTGGTCAAGGATTTTGGCTGTAGCAAAGGATTTCCCCTGGAATGCAGACAAAATACCTCAAAGTTGTGAGGGCATTCCGTCAATACGCAAAATTCTCCATGCCAGTTCCTTGGAAAGATTCAAGCAGTGCCGTTGTTTGATGAAGGAACACCCATTTCTGGACGTTGTTTTGACATTGCCTTCTGAATTTTGTTGCAGTTGGTGTCTATGAGCGAAGAGCTTCGAAGAGCCCTGTATGCTACAAATTCAGCGAGCTTCGACCTCGAAATCCTGGTTCCTGACCTGGTTGGTGTGACGGAGATTCTCACAGAGGACCACCGCAAGGAACTCTGTCGGCACCTACCTGCGCGAGCTGAAGGTAAGATTTGTCAAATTTGTTACTTTGTTTTGCGTGTTTTTGACTGGTGATAGCACTGTGTAACACATATGTTCTTGTTTTGTTCTTTCAGGCTATGTGTGGACTTTGGTGTTCAGCACTTCCCAACATGGCTTCTCGCTCAATTCTATGTATCGCAAAATGCAGAGGCTTGAAAGCCCTATTCTTTTAGTTATTCAGGACACTGACAACAATGTAAGTACAGTGACTGCTAAAGGCCATCATTCCATGTAAAAAACTACATTTCTGTAAATTAATTTTTGAAATTATCTTGCAGGTGTTTGGTGCTCTTACCTCCTGTGCACTGAAAGTCAGTGACCACTTTTACGGAACTGGAGAGTCACTACTGTTCCGGTTCCAACCTCAATTCCAGGTCTACAATTGGACTGGAGATAACATGTATTTCATTAAGGGCAACAATGAAAGCCTTGCCATTGGTGCTGGAGAGTATGTATACAACTAACCTTATCCACTTTACTGCTTCTTTGTTTTTCATTTTTTTCATATATTCTTTTTTTTTTTTTACAGTGGGCGCTTTGGCCTTTGGCTAGATGGAGATTTATACCAAGGCCGGTCCCAGTCTTGCAGTACTTACGGGAATGATCCACTGTCAATCAATGAAGACTTTGTCGTCAAAACATTGGAATGCTGGGCTTTCATTTAAGAGGAATGCACCAGCAGCATCCGCAGCGTGGCTTGCTACCATTCCCAACTTAGAATACTAGTCGTCTTTTTAATTATTGTGTGTGTACCCTGCCCTGGAACGTCATAAACATATGTGCATCATATCAGCTGTTTGTGTGTTTCCTCACAACTTGCTAAATTGTGTTTTATTGTGAGATATATTTGTGTTAATACTGATTATTTATGTCTTTAGTTTGTTTCCCCTTTTATGTCAACCACATAACTTGTGTTCAAATTATTATTATTATCAGTAACCATGGAGTATTCTATCAAGTTTTGTTGCAACCTTTGCGCAAGGCTTGAAGAATCTGTCAATGTGAAACAAATAATGAACTGTTGCTTTAACTTGATTAGGCTTGATTGTTTTATCAAATTACGTGTCATGAGGCATTGACCTTATTTCATTATGATACTTCTGATAGAATGGCAATATTCTTGAAGTGGTCAGAGTAGAGGCTTTATGCTGCCAAGTAATGCAAGTAATTTTCAATAGGTGATTTTTTTGTGTGAAACTCTATAGGAGGTCATATTTGTGTGAAACTCACTAGGGTGCTACTAAACATAGGAACAGGCATTGATAATGTAACATTGCTCTAGTATGTTATTTTCATATTGTCTGTCAGTTTAAAGTAGAATAGATCAAAATATTTTGCATGTTTTTGCCATGAAATAATGTATTTGTGAATCTATATTACTGTATGAACATATGTTTGACTGTGGTAGAGTTATATCAGAAACTAGTTGCTCAAAAGTTTCAATTCAATGTAGTTACTAATATTGTGATGATGTCAATGTGCTTTACCAATCCTCTCATTATAAGGAGAGTACTCTGTGTAGCTAGTAATAGCAGAGTTGTGTAAAAATTAATCACGTGTTAAAAAAAAAGCAGAAACCAATTGTCAGTGCTTGTTAACATACCATTGGGGAAACAAACCAATGGCCATCATTGATGCAGTTCCGCCTGCACACACATAGTTGTAAATAGAATATAAATACATGTATTATAAATACCTTTTATATTTATACTGTTTTAGAACTTGTTGATTTTTTTTTCTCAACACAGAGCTTTGTATCAATTAGTTGTTGCGTATATGTCATCATATGTCTATGGATCATTCTTGTGTGTTGTGAAGTTGTTTAAATGTTTCATGATTGTTAGGATGAAGTGAACTAATTGTTTCAAATTCTGTCTGTGCATTACAACTCAGACATTTTTGAAGAACCCCATTATGGCTCTAGGTCAGTCTTGATTTATATTGCTTGTATGAAGTCTGGTCAAATTCACTTTCCTGGCTGCCAAGTTCTCTAATGAATCAGTACACACTTGAATCTACAAAGGTTATGAAATAGCTGTTTGATGGAGAAAAGAATGAATCCTTCAGTGAACATTAACATTTCTCTTACTGAGGTGGCTCCTAATAAGCAACCATCTTAGTAAGTTTCTTTAGTACAAACTCTATTTTATATATAATAATGGACCAAAACAATAATCTACCTTGTCCTATTCTCTCCTTATCACAAGAGAAAATTGGGAATTTCATTTTATCATGTCGACTTGTTTGATCTTATTCTGGGGAATTCGAGGCATACATATTTGCCTGCCATAAAGACAGTGAGAGATAGGATTAGGCTGAGACAATGGGAATGCAAAGCAAGAGTGTGATGGGGATCAAGATGCTAAATACTTAAAGCTACGCTGAACATGTATATATTTATTGTTGTCTTTAGTCAGTGGATGTTCGTCATTGCATAGGATGATTCAAGGAAGAGAAACAACAGCAATAGAAGTGTGGTATTTTCTTCCATGTTTAAATACCATGGCTAAAGTATCACTCTGTAGAATTAGCTTCATGTGTGTTTTCCATGCAGATTTAGAAGAATGAAAAGTATTTGAGACGTTTCATTTAAAACATAGAAAAGTCAGTGTTGCTCCTTTAACCAGTCATATTCGAGTCAGTTTTTGCCCAGCTTTTCGTTAGAAGGTGCCCTTTTCAATCTGTGCTGTACTATTGTTGTGACCGAAACAAGACTTTTTATAGAGCAAAGATGTGCCATGATGCCAATACTTTTGTTACTGGATAACTCAACCCATTTCAAATAATCTTCATATTTTGTCATTTTTCGTTTTGCTGAGTTGTTTTGCTCGTTCAACTAAGTTGCTTGTTCAGCCAAATTATTCTTTCAATCTGTTACATCAGATTTGTGATTCTTTTATTTTGTTGCAGCTTTTCTAGTTTGTTTTTCTGTTGTCATTTTTTTTCTTTTTTTAAATTATTTTGGTGAGATGTACTTTTGCAAAGAGACTGAGAGGAATGTGGAGCCTGTAGTTTTACTTTTCTGTTAATGTATATATGTATAAATTTAACGTTATTAAAATACTTTCACTGCACAATTTGCCTTTGCATTTAATAAAGCCTTTTCATTTTGCCCTTTCCTTTTATTTTGCTTGCTTGCTTTTTTTAAAATCTAAAACTCTTAGTAGCAGTGTACCACAAACTATCACATGGGTTGAGAAACATGATTGAAAACACAAATGATATTTTCTTGATGTCTTCAAATGATTGGTGTCCAAAACAAAACTTTTTGAGTTGCTGTTTTTATTGTTGGATTAATGGCATATTAAATGTCTGCTTGTCATATTCATACAGTAGCATTGCTGTATTTCTGCAGAGAATGAAATTTAATGAAATTTGTAGCGCTTCAAGTGTTTCCAGGGTCAGTGTAGAGCTCCAACTGAGCTTTGTGTTGTTACTGCATAACTAGGGGAGAGGTTCTATCTGTACATAGGATGTGATTTATATTTTTATTGAAGTGCTGTTACTAGGAGTTCCTTCAGGCACTATTTAAAGAATACTTTTGATCGGTGTTATAAGTAATTGGGTGAGAAGCACCTGTGTATAAAGAATAGTGAATTGCAGCCAAATTTCATTTCTGTTTGACTAATATTTTGTAGACACTACTTGAATGTTTTAGTAATTATTTTTATGCGGTGCCCCATTATGCTCATCTCTAGTTAAATGGGGAAAGAAATTGTAGTGTTTACTTTAGCTCTCATGTTTCTGCCATGAAATTGTTTACCATGTGATAGACTCCCTCTGGTGTTGAGGCAGAAAAGAGAGGTTCATTACTGTCAAGTCAATCTTAAGGTTTGCTTAGGTCTTAAAGTACTGCATCTCAAAATTTAATTTTTGGAACAAACTCTTATGACAAGGTGTGTTATCCCATGCAGTCGCATTTGTGCAGTTATTTTGATATTTTTCAGCAGGTGCGAAGGGCTCCTACTGGTTCCCAATGCATTATGTGTACGTACCCCTGCAAAGCTAAATTCAAATCGTCCCATAGCAATTCTCATTTGTCTAATCCCAGGATAGTAGTGAAGAAATTTTTTACAAATTGTTAAAATTTGTCATTTGCTTCTTTTTGATGTTGATGCTGCATTGCGTTTTTTCCTCTTTTTCCTCAACGAGTTTAGAAAAGCAGACATTGTCTTTTTGGAACAACACGGCAGAAGCAGCAATGTTTTCAGATGTATAAAATCTATGGGAAAGTGGTATCTGTATGATCCTGCATTATAATGTCTGGAAAGGACTCACTAGTGTGAGTTCCAAAATTTCGATAATGGAAAACCTATCACCATTAGAATGAATCTGAGGGGAAACTTTGTGCATATTAGGTCAACTTGATAGGAGAAAGCTTACTAGGAGAACATTCTGCAGGAAATATAAAATTGCGCTTTATTGGAAACCTGCTGGCCAAATTTAATTACTTATTGAGACTTTGCCCACATTTGTGTTAAAAAATGCTTTGTAAGGATGAGACGTTTCTGACAGAAAGCTATTGGTAACATGTTAACGCAATTTCCAAAAAAAAATAAAAAAAATTACAACTGTGAACTTGCAATGGTTGTAAAACTCCATTTAATATTTTGGCCAAGTACTGTACAGCTATGTTTAGGGGGAAGCCAACAAAAGGACTCCCACGTGACTTGATGGAGTTGAGCTAACCAAGCACGTTGGTCCTATGGATTCTTTGCTTTAACATGATATATGTGTACAATAATATAAGTCTGCTGATAGTATTAATGTTTAGATGTAATAAATTATCTATCCTTGATGTGAACTATGCTAAACTTAGTCAATTGTTTGTATTGTGATTTTTCACATCAAAAATTTGTGGAACAAACAAATTTGACATAAAAAGAGCATTAGTTGAGATAAATCGTAGAAGATTAATGGTGGTAATGTCTTGTTCTATTTATTAACAAACAAATGTGTCACTTAAGTTAATTTTTGGTAGATTTATCTCAAACAATACTATTTTATTTCTAATTTTTTTGTTTTACATGGGCTGTATGGTAAAAGCAATTTAGAGGAGAAAGCCGCTGAAATTATCATTCTTTACAAGGACCAAATGATTGGTTTGGTACAAACTATATCATATTCAGTCAACAAGTTTCTTACAAAGCGTTTCCAAAATTCGTATTTTATGGTCAGCAGGGCGAATTAAAGCACCAGGGACAAGGAAAGTAAATGCAAGTTTGTTTTTTCTTTTTCGTAAGATGGTTTGGCAAAATTTAGGAATTTCAATACTACCCAATGTCAATTAGTTTTCAGACTGATTTGCAAGCTTAATTTTGCAAGACATGCTATGCTTTTAAATGTTCATACTTTTGTGAGTGTCCTTTCCAAGCTCAACTGCAGCTAATTTATTTGGGGATTTTGTAAGATAGGCCAAAACCATTTGGAAGAGTCAAAGCTCAAACCACTTGCTCTAAATTAACATGTTCTATGTGTTCTTAGCACAGCTTTCAAAATCAACTCTGTAACTTTCTCCTCCAGTGTCATGTTGTGCCTTAGTTAGATGCTTCACAGAACAGTACTGTGTAGATTAAGAAAAAGATCTTGGAGCTAAATGGAAGTTGTAGAAATGAATGAGAACATAATCAAGCTGCAATTACCGCATTGCCACAAGGCACGAAAAAAAATTCTACGCTTATATAGAGAGCTGGTTGTTACCAACTCTAATAGGGGCTGTGAAAAAAAATGTGTTAGTACACCATTAAGTCGCTTCTTAAAAACGTGAACTGTCTCCCGCAGCTTTCCCTGGTTTGATGAAACAAACGAGTGCACAAACTAGTTTTCGGCCTTTTACTTTTTCTAAGTGAACCAAATATCAGTAACCCCCTTCCCCCCCTTTGAGACGTGGGCAAGAGGTGGGGCCTGAGCGAGGGCAGAGCAGGCAGAGCCACAGGACACAAGAGTCGTCGCCTCCTTGCGCAAACCACTACTTGCTCAAGTACCAGCAGCTGCATCGTGCGGAAACTCTTCAAAACCAATATCGGCCTATCGAATTAAAAGTCTGGTCCTTGGTTGGACCACGGCCAGCACAAAGAAACCAAAACGAAGCATGTCATTGGGTCGATGCTAAGGCTCTCTGCCCTAAATCCGAGTGATTTTTGCCATGAATGCGCCGCGAGGAAGGAAAGACCTCGCGACCCCCCCAAACCTTTTCTTTCCCCTCCTGAGCTCAAGGTAACAGGTGCGGTGCAGAGGCCCCAAAGATTCCAAGTATTCCGGTGGTCTGAGTCCGATTCGCCTTAAAAGAGTGGAAGGTGAGGCACCCTGTCAGTAGGCCAATGGAGCTACGCGTCCTCCCGAAGTTGGATCTGCCCCTGCACTTCCAAAGCACAAAAACGTGCGTTCTCAAAAAACCGCTGACATACGAAATGGAACAATAGTGATAAGTTTCGTCTCTGAACCAATAAAACCTATAAAGTCTTTTTAGATGCATTTGTGCGTCTGTTATTATATTTTCTGAAGTGCTAAACTTGCTTTCTGCGCGTTAAATGGTTAGCTGTAATGGCCGGAGTGAAGCCCAAAGTAGTGCTCACTGTCTTAGACTTTAAATAAGGAAAAACCGTAGCACATAGTTGTGGTTGCTGAAAATTTGGCGAAGTTAAGTCTCTTGTCGTGGCTTCTGTTTCTGCAAGAACACAAATCAATATGAGTCGATCTCGTTTCTGCAGTATAGCTATACTGTAGGCACTGTTTTTAATGTGTGGTGCTAGTTGTAAATAAAAAGAATGGCAAAACAAATGTGTATTTTTATTTCTTAGTTACCATTCCAACACACTCACTGATGCCACCAAAAAACATTTCAAAATTTCCGTCAGAGAAACAGCCTACATGGATCCGAAATAGTACGTTTTGGCGGGTGGCCCGGTCGGCCCGCTGCGCCGGCTAGTTCCATGGTGATGGCGGTACTGTTGTGCTTTGCAGTGCCGAGGGCCCCGCCGCCCCGCGGCCCCGACCATGGCCGTCGTGTTTGAAGGGGCAGGGCGGGCCCGCCGCAAGTACGGGCCCTGCCTGCCTCTCGTGCTCCCGGTGGGTCTTCTCTCTCTCTCTCTCTCTCTCTCTCTCTCTCGCCAACGAACGTCGATTCGGTCTCACGCTTGATTCCGCGTCAAGAAATGACGTCATTGGGTCATTGGCCGTTCCGACAGCCGGCGGACCGCGGCGCGGGCTGGGAGCGCGACATCGCCCCGTCCGTGCTCAAAGAGGTGGACGTGTGCCCAACGTTCCTGTCGGACGACGCCCACACCATCGGGCTGCCGCCGAGGGCCACGCAGCCCTCCGTCGCACGCTACGTCCGCGAGGTCAAGCACTACCGAGGTGAGCACGTCGACCGTGGTGCCGGCAATGCCCCCGCCCCGCACAGTGGGCCAGAAGCCCGATGCAGGCGGTCAAAATCCTGGACGCGCCTCGAGTTCCAGAGTCACTAAACAGGATTCGAATCGAGTGTGTGACCCCACCAATGGATCGCTCTCCGAGCGAGGAATCCATTGGTGGGGTCCCACGATTGGTTAGAGTCCGATTTAGCGACTCTGGAGCTCAAAACGCGTTTGGAGTTTTGGCCGCCGGCGCCGGTCCTCTGACCCGCTGTGCGCTGTGTCCCCCAGACGCGTCTTACGGCAGCCACTTCGGCCTGTACGGCGGCGTCAACCTGCTGCCCGTGTTCGGGGAGCGCATGAAGACCGTGCCCACCGTGCCGCGCACGCACCACCACTTCGGCACCGGCGTCAACACGGGGTGCGGCAAGCGGGACCTGCCCGTCGAGAGCAGCTCGGAGTCCGCTGCGGTCGGTGACGGTGCCCCTCAGATTCCAGGACGTGCAGCTGCACCCCACCGTGCTGGAGCTGAAGGCGATCGCACAGCGCGCCGACTGGGTGCCTGCGCCGAGCCTGGCCAGCGCCAAGGTGGTGAAGCTCGCCCAGCCCACGCGCCGCTACCCACAAGGTCGGACTCGGACACGCGCCCTTCCCTGTAACGCGCTGGCGCGCAAGTGCAACTCCCTGCTTCAGTGCGCCAGGCTTTGTTCCCGTTCCCGAAGGACCCTGCGGGCAACAGCTGCCCCTCGGAACCCCCGCCCCCTCCGCAGCCTCCGCCAACAGACAAGCCGGAGCCGGTGGTTCTGCCAATGAGGTGCGCGGCGGCATGATGCTGCAGTGGCGTGCCAGCGCGTGGCGCCACCATGGTCCACTTTCAGTGCCAATGATTCTGCCCCGCTCAGCTCCCTCATGTGGCCCACGCCCTTTTGGTACAACGGGTCGCTGAGTCGCCCGGGCAGGCCGGTGGGCGACGCCAACGACTACAATTTCTGCAAACTCGCAAAGAGCAGCGTACCCGTCGCGATGGTGGAGAAAATGGAGCTGGATGATCCCAGCTATTACATTCCGGGACAAGTTGGTAAGCTTCGGCAGGACAAGCAATCCTATCCCCACAACAGAAAAAAACAGTTCTTGATAATTTTGCAACTCTCTGTCACTGCAGCCAATGAAGGCCATGCTCCGGAGCCAAATCAAGTGATTCAGGTTAACGTCACAACTATCTTAGACCTGAGAAAAAAATGTTCTTTTTACGGTAATTTTTTATGTAACGCTTTAAAAAAAATTGCATTTTGTTTAGGATGAGCCTCCTGTACAGAATAAAAGACGGCCACTGTATGAGAGGAGAATCATTCCCTTACGTCCTCCACAAGAACATTACCAACTGAGTCCATGGATTGGACAAGACAAAAGGAGTTTGGAAAGGTGCTGCTTAAGTTCACTACAGTAATAAGTTTTCAACACAATATCAGGTCTGATATGTGTGCTGTGCATTTGTTGTAGGGTCGGATCAGCGTTTCGAACTGACGTGTGCAATGGCCACTACACTCTCTACCCTCCAGGACCACAACCTGCCATAACGCTCAGAAGATGTGACTATCCTGACATAAGGCTGAGTGTGCTGTAAGAAAAGATGGTATGAATGAAAATAGGCTGAGTTTGTGACTTACGTTTTATTCAACATATCATCCATAATGTATGTACAATGTATGGTTAAAAAAAGATGTTTGTTATTAAGATACAACATTTTAAAATACATACAGTTTCCAAGTCACGGTTTCAAAATAATAAAACATAAGCGGACTGGTCTAATGTTTTTGCATTGCTGATAATTTTGAATAACACGCAAAAAAACAGTCTGCTCCTTGTTGGTTCTTGTCAAAATTACATTATGTACAATGTTCCTTTTTAATAATTTTTTTCAATCAGTTGAATTGAAGCAATGATCTGCTATACAACTCATTTTATTTACAGGGTACCCACAAAACACAGTTTGTGTAACTTTTTTCTATTTTCGTTTTACTTATTTTGCCAATAAATATGCTACTTTGAGCATGCTTTGATCCTTATAGACTATCAGGTGACTTTGTCACGTTAGCCATGGAAATATATGGTTCTACAAATAAATGTAATGGATCAGCCAATCCTCAAAACTTTGAATTTTTGAAAATGAAATTTTGTCAAGCCAATGTTTTATTATCTCTATTGATCCTCTTGTCCTCAGCAAATTAAGTGAAGGAGTTAATTATTCCTTGTGATGAACGGAAATCGAATATTAATCTGATATGTAAAGTTAAACATTATGATTCACTAGATGATCTGTTTGGCTGAGATAACGACAGAAAACACAGGAATTTCTGGACCTTTTCTGAGGTCAACGGCTGAAAAATTGAGACATTTTGATTTATTGACAATGGCAGTCTGGGATAGAAAATCACTCCATTCCATGGTGGCTAGAGCATCACATTTCCTAAAGAACAACACTCACAGCTCCTCCCCACTGATACTAACTTTTAGAATATGCAAACGGGCAGTCTTTCAAAGGACCAATCTCTATAGAGTGGTCAAATCAGATTTTTGTTTACTTTGTTCTGGTGCCTATTTTGTTTTGTTCGTATGAACAGTTTGGCAGGACTTAATAAATTACGGACGAACTTAATTCTTTTTCTTGTTTTTTTTTTTACATATATGAACATGGCAGTGTCATCCTGTAAACAGACTTGACATTGCCTGTAATGGATACTTAACGAAAGGCAACATTCCTTTTGCAAATTGGATGAAGCAAAAATCTTCAAACACATTTAGGCCTGTACACAGGTAATAGGTAAGTCACTTTGAAAATTGTTTCGTAATTTTTTTTGTTGTTTTTTTTTTCACAGAAGAGTGAATTAATTAACCATCCCATGCTTTCACAGTGTAAAAAAAAATCTTCAAAGTGTTCCCCAACAAGTAAAAAATATTAACAAAACCTTTCACACAAAAGAAATGCTCACTTTGGCATTCTGGGAGGCTAAAAAACATGCAACCAAATCACTAAATTTCTTTACTTCCCTTCTAAAAATGATGAAATGCGTCTAAATTCGAAATCTGAACGTTCTCGGACCATATTTGACCAGATAAATTGACTTTTACCATAAAAAAGCGCCAAGCGGGCCAAATTGACCCACACGGCATTTTGACCATATTTTCGCGTTTTACACAACATAACGAGCTTATGAACTGACTCTTCACCACTAAAAATAACTTACGTCATATTAGGAATGCGTCCGTTCCGCGTTCACGAAGTAGGCAACCCGCAATACATTTTGGCTGGAGACATCGTGCAGTTCCTTTGACGTAAACTGCCAATTCTTAGGCATTTTGGGTACCGATTGACTTCTAAACGCCCTAGGGTGCCTCTCGAACACTGAGCCGCTAGTCTACCTTCAGTGGCACTCATAGCACGCTCAGCCCGAATCCTTGGGTCAAAGGACTCCATCACTTACTCATGCGTAAAGAGATAAATAAAATGCCGAGATCCACTTTGTTGCTCTCGTGTCTAGTGTTTCAAGGTAATTCACTTGCCTCCGTACATTTTAACTAGCTCGGCAACTATTCATTCCCTAATTCTGTACAATCCGGTCAGGACGATGAACGACACGGAAACCCATCTCCAGGGATACAGCAGGAGCAAAACTGGTTAGGACAGATCACTGAATGCTAGTTGACGAACGGACGCAAATTAGATCCCACTACGCGCCTTGCTGGTTGTGGCGAGTTTATTGTGTACCCGAGGGTGTTTACACATGTCTCTTACATTCCAGCCTTTTTAGCACACACTCAATCGAGCACTCAATCCTCCTTACTATGAGCTCTCCGTTGCTATGAACCCTGGTTTCCGGGCATGCCTTGCTGCTATGCTTTGAAGGTTTGGCCAGGTCTTAATGGTCTGCGGTTCAATAATTTGATTAAAAGTCACTATCTTGATCATAAGGCGATTACAATTACGCCATCTATTATCATTAAAAACGTTTCGGCAACGAGGCACAGTAGAAAACTCTAAGAACAGCAAATCATGGTTTGCGGGTTGCCTACCTCGTCCCCTGTGACCCCTGTGCACCAAATTTTATCCTTTGACTTGCTAAGGGTCTACAAATCCGTGTTAGGTTCCCTTTGGGTCGAAATGACGGTTCAAGAGTTGACATGTACGACGAAAATGCCCGTGGGTCAAATTGGCCCGCTCGGCGCTCTACGGTAATCCGAAAACCCGGCGCTTCTAGTGTTAATTAACCATCCCATGCTTTCACAGTGTAAAAAAAAATCTTCAAAGTGTTCCCCAACAAGTAAAAAATATTAACAAAACCTTTCACACAAAAGAAATGCTCACTTTGGCATTCTGGGAGGCTAAAAACACACATGCACACTCAAACAAATACAAACTCACAGATTTCCAGTTCACTACACCTCACCTTGCTAGAAAACGTAACATTAAAACAGAATCTAACAACTGCAACCTGAACTTTGTTTCATTATATTTCATTACTTCAAACCAAACAACCAAAATATTTCCCATACAGAATAGATGCGATAAAATTACATCAAGGGGACCTTTCTTATAGCAACTTAAGTACAACACAAAAAGCACTGTTTTTGCCATTTTTTCTCATTTCTTAAAAAAACTCTCTTTTTACTTAAAAGGTCATGTCAACATAATTTTAATCGCCCCATTCTTCGCGTCCCAATAATGTTGACGGGACGGCCTGCTAGATTAACAACTCATTTCATAACAGTGCCTCATCGACTTTGGCCCTTCGCAGAAAGCGGCGCGAACTTTGGGCGCGAACACTCCAGGGAATGCCCTCTCAAAAGTCCTGACGAGGCCAAGCTCACCGGTTAGACATTATGATAAGTCACGGGCAAGTCGAGGGACCGGCCCGGCCGTGCCGTGTTCCCCGGGGTGCTGCACGTTGCTCACGTTGCTGCACCGGGGCCGTGCGAATGCACCCAACCGCTCCGTTCCGACCTTGTCCGACCTTGCCAGCCGCGCTGCCTGCTAGCAGGCTGCTGCCGCGCCACCACAGTGCCAGCCAGGAACGGGCCGCGCAGCCCAGCGGCGGCGAGTCGCACACACAGTAATATAGTCCTTTGCCAGCAAACACGAAAAACAACAACACAAACAGCAAATAAATATCTCTCATTTCCAGTAATAAATTTATATAGACTATTTTCTTTTTTCTCTCTTCTGTCTCTGAGCGCGGCGCCGTGCTAACACACACACACACACTCACAGTCTTGCGCGGTACTTGGACGGGCACACGGGGCGTCACACAGTCACCCTCCCTCACACGCGCCTCACCAGGACGTCCAACATGGCGCCCAGCGCCACGTCGGCGGAGACGCCCAAAGGCGCTGAGGGAGGCGAAATCGTCCTCTTTTGCCTTTCGCCCGTGATCGGCAGGCAGTCCCCAGAACTTGGAGAGCCTGTCCCGAACGCGTTCACGAAGGCGTCCACACTCTGCCTCGCAGTCCAGCAGGAGTCCAGCAGGAGTCCAGCGGCCGCCGCACACACACTGACGGGGTGGGTCTAGGAGTCGTCCTCCCCGTGGCGGCAGGGCTCGGCGGCGTTGGTGGCGAGGATGCCGTGCCGGGAGTGGACGCCCTCGGGCCACCATCAGACTTGCGTGTGCGTGTTGCCGTGCACCTGGTCGCCGGAGCAGTCCGGCACCGACATCTGCCCGGCCGGGCTGTAGTACTGCGGACAGAGACAACACCGTGAGACGGCTGCTTCTACTCGCGCCAAGGCGGGGAGCCTCTCCTCGCAGTAGACACCACCACTCCACTGGGAGGGAAGATTTGCCAGGATGGCGAGGGTGGCGGTGGAAATAAGAAGCTTTACGATCATGTGTGGTCTAGCCCTTAATGGTAATGAAGTGCAGGCAGCGCGCCCGTCACACTGCCGTGCCCGCCGGGTTGCCTACCCGCCCGATCACAGGCGCTCGTGCGCAGGCAAGACATGTTTTTATTTTACATTAAAAATTGAAAAAGTGCCACATTGCAAACATTTTTTATCTGCTCTTTATGCGTGAGAGGATCCTGTTAAAATTTCCGTACTTTTGTACGCAGTGAGTCTGGCAACGAAGTCGAGTCGACGCGCGGTCGGCCGCTGCCACACGTGGCCACACAACACCAAAAGGGAGGCCCAAAAGTTTCCCCCGCCGACACGTCGCCCGCAAATGACCTCGTTCTCGTTACTTGTTGGACCAGGACGGTGAGAAGCGACTCTGCTTGCACTTCATTTTTCCACCGTTTGGCGCCAACTCCAGACTCCAACTTATTCTATCCGCCAAATTCTCGCGGCAGGCCGTTGTCTCCTCGGCTCCCCAACTCTCTCTCTCTCTCTCTCTCTCTCTCTCTCTCTCTCTCTCTCTCTCTCTCTCTCTCTCTCTCTCTCTCTCTCTCTCTCTCTCTCTCTCTCACTCCGCCGCCACCCCGCGCTGCCATCGAGTCCAACGTCAACAGGGCACTTTATCACTTTGGCACAGGGACATCCTCACCCCTGCAGCCATGCCCTCCCCTCCGGCTCTCTCTCTCTTTTTTTGATAGCCACATAAGTAAAAACTTTCTTGGCAAAGCGCGGGGAGCAAAGCTTTATTTCATTTTTTCTGCACACTCCGCGGCAGTAATTTCTCCTTGTTCTCCGCCTACTGTCGTCATGTGGGCCCGGGCTGGGCCTGGCCGGGCTGGGCCTGCTGGCTGGGCCGGGCCGGACCGCCAGCCACCGGCGGGCCGAGGTGAAATCCGACAGGTTGCTTTCGCGCCAACGAACAACGACAAGAGAGGTGAGGCTGCCTCGCTGCGCAGACTGATTCCGAGAGACGTTTTCGTCGTTCTGCCTCTCTCGCACTCACGGGGCGGCCCCTATGGGTGCGAGAGAGACAGAGCGACCGTGGCGAGTACGTACCGTACTTACCCGGCCGTTGTCGAAGTCCCGCGGGCCGGCCATGGTGAGCCGCGCCTTCGCCTTCATGGCGTCCGAGAGCGGGATCTGTTAGCGGGAACAAGACAACAATTCAGTTCCAGTCCACAACGAAGGGTAGTCAGAAGGCCGCTAAAGTGAAGGCTTCGTCGCTCTGCCTCTCTCCCACCCCATGAGTGTGAGAGAGACAGAGTGACGGCGGTACTGCAGGCGAGCTCACCTTCGCCCTGGTGGCCTCGGAGTGCGACTTGTAGAAGAACTCTATGAGCGCGACGGCCAGCGCCACGATGAGGCCGCCGATGAGGATGTAGAAGACACCCGCGATGTTGCTCAGCGACAGCTCGTTCGTGTGGTCCTGCAACAAGGACAGACGGTTGCAGCAGTCCGTCTCGCTCCAGAGTCGGAGAGAGAGAGAGAGAACACGATGACACTTGCCTGCTTGTCCAGGTGCCTGCACTCCGTGCGGTCGTACCACCACTTGTTCTGTAACCTCGTGAGCTCGCCGTTCTCGCCGAGCTCCAGCACGTACAGGTTCAACTGCTCCCTGGAGTGAACAAGGAACACGGCCATGAGTATCATTGGGGAAGGTGTCAAAGAACAGCATTGAGAACCTTGTGCTCCACACAGCAAAGCATACCACAGTGGACCAGGAGACCGGCGGCGGCGGCGGCCAAAACTCTAGACGCGTTTCGAGCTCCAGAGTCGCCCAACAGGACTCGAAGCGAGCGTGTGGCCCCACCGATGGATTCCTCGTTCGGAGAGCAATCCATTGGTGGGGTCACACGTTCGGTTTGAGTCACATTTTGGCGACTCTGGAGCTCAAAACGCGTCTTGACTTTTGTCCACCTCCACCGGCTCTCTGGCACACTGTGCCTACCTGAGGGACGACTTGGGCGGCGTGGCGATGCCGAAGCCCTTGGTGTCGAGGTTGGGCCCCACCTTCATGGTGTCGCAGGGCTGCCGCTCGTTGGTGTACTCGTTCTTGGGGGACTCGAGCAGCAGTGCGTACTTGCCGCGCCGCTTGCGCACGCGCTCGATGCCCTCGTCGTACGAGTTGACGAACACCTCCTTGTGCGAGTCCATGTACTCCCACATGCGCTTGTACACCGTCATCTTGGCCCGCTGCGCCGACAGAAAGGATTATCAAGTCTTTTTCCTCGCGAGTTGCTCAAGAATGAGAGGCACAGTGGGCCAGAAGACTGGTGGAGACGGTCAAAATATCCCGGACGCGTTTTGAGCTCCAGAGTCGCTTAATGGGACTCGAACCGAACGTGTGACCCCACTAATGGATTGCTCTCCGAAAGAGGAATCCATTGGTGGGGTCACACGCCCGGTTCGAGCCCTGCTTCGTGACTATGGAACTCAAAACGCGTCTAGAGTTTTGGCCGCCTCCACCGGCCTTCTAGCAAATCCACTGTGAGTGAGCGGTAGCGGCAGCGACCTGGAAGAAGTCGTAGGTGGAGCCGTTGACGAGCGTGCCGTACGCGACGTCCGTCTGCGCCGCCAGGTCCTCGGCCGTGTTGATGGGCGTCACCATGCGCTCCACCGTGAGGAAGGCGGCCAGGTTGGCCGTGTACGACGAGATGAGGATCAGCGTGAAGAACCACCACACGCTGCCCACGATGCGCCCCGAGATGGACCTGTGGACGAGGATCCGGGTTCGAGTACCGCCCACGTCGACTTTTTGTCTCGTTCTAAAGCGCACAGTGAGGGAGACCAATGCAGGCGGCCAAAACGCGTTTTGAGCTCCAGAGTCACTAAAAGGGACTCGAACCGAGCGTGTGACCCCACCAATGGATTCCTCATTCGGAGAGCAATCCATTGATGGGGGTCACACGTTCGGTTCGAGGCCTATTTAGCGACTCTGGAGCTCAAAACGCGTCGAAAGTTTTTGCCGCCTCCACCGATCTCTGGCCCACTGTGAGGCTTTCGCGCTTACCTCGGCGATATGTCGCTGCCCTGCTGCATGAAGGCCCCCAGCGCGAACCACAGCGAGTTGAGGATGCTGAAGTCGTTGGCCACCACCGGGGCGGGGGCGGGGCCGGGGCCGCGGTGCGCGCCCGTGTTGGGCTCGTCGCCCCACTGGAGCAGGCGCCACTCGTAAGGCGAGAACCTGCAACACAACGCCACCTGGTTAACGGCGGCGAGCCCGGCAGGCAGCCCGGCAGGCAGGCAGCCCGGGCTGGCAGGCAGCGCGTCGAGGCAAGACGGTCATGTCAACTACCGCGCCTCCCGTTTCGCGGAATGGGTAATTACCTCCATAAGGACAACCAGCGGATACTCTCTCCCTCTCCCTCGCACCAACGCGGCGAGCCCCAGGGTGCGAGAGCGACAGAGCAAGCGCGTACCTGGACACGATGAAGAGCACGATGCTGACGCCGATGTAGGAGAAGATGACGCAGACCCAGATCTCCTTGGAGAGGGGCGAGAGGAAGGTGAGCACGCTGGGCTTCTGCTTGATGGGCTTCTTGATCATGATGGAGATGCCGAGCGACAGGAAGGGCTTGCTGAAGTCCACCACGCGCTCCCGCTCCGACGTGATGGTCAGCGGCGCGATGGCCATGTCCGCCTCCTGGACAAGAGCAGAAAACGACCGCCGTCAGCAAACAAGGCGTTATTTGAGCCCAAAGCACCACAGAAAAATCATCAGAAAAACGTAAAAAAAACTGCACACACATAAAGTCGGCACTTTTGATTACAGGGCGGGGGGGAAATGAGCAAAGACCTGAAACATAAAGCAACACTACAGGGGATGGGGGAATATATACGGACAAGAAAAATAGAAGGCGAGCATGGGGAAGGTGTAATGACTATTCATAGCCATGTCACATTTCCATTCACATCCACAAAGCCGGAAAGAGAGGGGGGGGCGTGCGTGTGCTCTGCACGGCTCCGCGGTGCTGCGGCGGCCCGTCAGGTGGCCGACATGAAGCGAACAGAGAGGGGGGGGGGCAAGTTTGGGAAAGGGTTGCACGGGGGGCTGGGGGCTCGGACAGGCACGGCGACACGACGGCAAGGGACGGCGTCCGGGGGCCCGGCCGGGCCGCCACAGCCCGCCAGGCACCGCCAGGCCAGGCGCGGCGGAGATCAACCACAATTAGCAAGTCAGATGCCGCGCAGATCCAGTCCCCCCCCCCCCTCCCGCACATGCCTGCCCGCCCCGCCTCGCCCCGCCTTGCCCCGCCTCGCCCCGCCTCGCCCCGCCTGGGATGCCGCAAGTCAAATTACCTGATGCGAGACACAGATACCACGTGGGTGGTGGTGGTGGCGCGGTGGTACACTGGCAGCCGCCTGCCCCGCCGCCGCGCCACGCCGCGCGCTCCGGCGTGCACAACAGCTGCCCGGAACGGGAACTCGGGGACCGGGGGCAGGAAGAGCCCCAGCAGCGCGGGGCGCTGTGCGCGCTGTGCGATAGGCGCGGCTCGCTTTCTCGAAAGCATTTAAGTTGCAAGCTCTGTTTTGCCTCTGGGGAGGCGTGGGGGCAGGTGCGCGCGGACAGATACAACAACGCACAGACACACACAGAGGGAGTCAGTGTGGCACTGTGGGAGTGGCGGCCCGAGCCCCTCGCAGTATCGGCCGCGGCTCCGCGGCGAGCTCGCTCCGGATTACATCCATATTCCTATACCTACTTGGAGGACGTGATTCGGTAATATGGAAAGCAGCCGTCCACTCCAGTGACGCGTACACTGCCTCCCGAAAAAAAGGGAAAGGGACGAAAAATAGGGATCCGGCGTCAGGCTTCAGTGAAGACGGCGCTACACCTTGGCGGCAGGGCGGTGGCAGCGCGACAGTACAATGGCCTGCCTTTGATTTCTCGCGGAAGTGGGAGCGGCAGCATCCTCGAAATAAGCCCAAGCGTCAAAGGCGATTGCCGATCGCGAAGCGCGGCACGGCACGGCACGACACGGCCCACGGCACGGCACGGCACGGCACGGCACGGCACGGCACGGCACGGCACGGCACGGCACGGCGCGGCACGGCACGGCACGGCACGGCACGGCACGGCAAAGGACTGTCCTGCCGCTCCGCCACTGCCCCACTAATTGGCCCGGGCCGCGCAAAAGTCGTAAAGTGATCTCCCCTCTCTTTCTATCAGGATTAATCAGGATGGAATTGAATCTGAGGCCAGAGGGCCGGGCTTGGATTGAGAGCACCCCGCGGAGGCCAAGGCTGCGCCGCGCTGCGCGTGGCCGCGGCCCGCACACCGATTCCGAGAGTCGTTTTCGTCGCTCTGTCTCTCGCGCACTCACGGGGCGTCCCGGGCAGGTGCGAGAGAGACAGAGAGCGACGACCAAAACGACTCTCGGAGCCAGTCCACTGGACTGGGAGGTGCAGATTGTAGGTACGAGGAAAGAAAGAGAGAGGGCTTCGAACCAAGGAAAGCTTGCCCCGCGAGGCCAAAGACTTTTCTCGTGAATTTAAGGTGATTAAAAGGGAGGAGGCGGGGGACGAGATAGATGGATAGATAGATAGATGGATAGATAGATAGATGGATAGATAGATAGATGAGAGACAGAGAGAGAGAGAGAGGGAGAGAGAGAGAGAGAGAGAGAGAGAGAGAGAGAGAGAGAGAGAGAGAGAGGCCCTGCAACGGAGCCGCGAGATAAGCGAAGCAACAGTAGTACAAGTAACGCGCATATGTGTGAGTGTGTGTGGGGGAAGAAGTAGTTGCGGGTTTGACTGGGGGCATGACGCCCTGGGGCCAGCGCTCTATTACCGGACAAACTTGTTGGGGAGGGGGGCAGAGCGACAGACAGACAGACAGACAAAACCACTGCTCCTGAACGCATTCCTCCGCTATCCCAATGCAAGCCTCCCTCGAGCGCTGGCCTGGAAGTCCCCACCGCCGCGTTGCCGCCGCTAAAACTTCCGTCTGATTCGCTGCTCGACTCCTGAGGTAACGTAACCGGCATAGTTTCGCTTTATGATTCAGTTACCGTGCCCCCCCCCCCGCCTCTCTCTCCACGCGTCGCCACCAGCGCAGCATTCCTCACTGAATTGAGAGAAGCGAGGCAGATGTGCGTGAGGCAATTATGCAGAGCAAAGCGTAAAAGAGAGATTTTGGCGGGAAAAACCGCTAACAGCTCCGATAATATATAAAAATATTTTTAAATAAATAAATATTTCGAAGGGTGCTGCCTCAAGAACCCGAAAGTTAAGCAACAGTATGTTTCTTCATGCCACCACTACGAGAAATTCGAGAAATCTGGTCCCGAAAAAATGCTGCTTTGATCGGTCTCGAACCCGGGACCTGCCGTTTGCCACACCACGCTCTAAGCCACTAAGCTACCGGGAGACCATGGCTCCCGCTCTGCCTGCGCTGGTAGTCAATCTTCTCTGGATATACCTCCTCAAGTCGTCGGTTGCCGAATAAAATGTAAATTCTACCGGTCGCGAACCCGGGACCTGCCGCCTCCCAGTCCATGCTCGAAACCACTGAGCGTGGCGAATAGTTATACAGTCTCGCGACGCCCATTGGCTTCTGATCCGCGGCGTTGTGTGTGGCGCCGTGTGTGGCGCGCCGTGTGCGGTGCGCGTGCGGGCGGGGCGTGTAGGCCTCGTTTACAACTCGCGGGGGAGCATGTCGGGGCAATGTTTGCGCCACGCCCGGGCCGCGCCGCGCCGCGCATAGTTGGACCGCGGCGACCGCAACGTGCGTGCCGCCGGGCCGAGATCCGCCGCGATTTGCCCTGATTTTCCGAGACCAGCTGCGCGTCATCATTGGCCGCCCACACTGTTAAAATTTGTTCTCACTTTATGACAAAATAGGAGATGACATAGTCATCGCATTCCAATGATGACACGACTGTCATCACTTTCCAATGAGGACAATGTCACGGCTTTCAAGTCCCGCTCTGCAGCGCACGGTTAGACTTGGTCCTGAAAGATTCAGGGCCGTAACGCGTCCCTGAGGTAGCCGGACACCCGTTTCCAGGACGGGAGTGGCGAAATTCAACCAGTTTGCCGTTTGGTCCTGGAAACGGGTGTCATTGGCGACGTTTGTCACCCGTTTCCAGGACGGTTCGGAATGTTTGGGGCTCTCGGTCCTGGAAACGAGTCTCGGCGGGCCCAAGACGCCGAAGTAAGACCAGTTCGCACCAGGTAGCTTGCACACTGAACTACATTGTACCGCTGGGCAATGATGCGCCATTCCCGCAGTGCGTTTCATGGAAAAAATCGGCAGCAAAAAGTGGCAATACGAAAGTCTCAAGGAGACCCGCCGATCAGCTTCGGTGTTCTTATGGGAACCGGGCCTTCATCCGACGCTCCCTGCCGCGCAATTCGACAGATTAGTGGGTTCGTATTAGGCTGGCCCACCCGAAGTGCGCGCGGTTTCTGTGGTACAGTGAGAGTCCAGATTCAGAGGCCTTACCTCAGAGGGGTCACATTGGGTATTTGAACCCGCGACCCCGAGTGCCGAGTCTAGTCAACTCCTCTACCCTGACCGCTCAGCCACCGAACCAGCTTGTCGGCGGCGATGTCGCAACTCCTCTTGAGCTGCCGTTCGAGAAATCTGGTCGCGAAAAAAGGGTACCTGGAGCGGTCTCGAACCCGGGACCTGCCGCTTCCCACAACATGCTCTTAACCACTGAGCCACCGGGACGCCATGGCACCGGCCCTGCCTGCGCTGGTACTCAATCTTCAATGGATATACCTCCCAAAGCAATTGGTCGCCGAAAAAATTGTATGTACTACCGGTCCCGAACCCGGGACCTCCCGCTTCCCGCGATATGCTCTTAACCACTGAGCCACCGGGACGCCATGGCACCCGCCCTGCCTGCGCAGGTACCCAATCTTCTCTGGATATACCCCCCCAAGCAATTGGTCACCGAAAAAATTGTGTATACTACCGGTCCCGAACCCGGGACCTGCCGCTTCCCACTTCAAACTCTTTACCACTGAGCTACCGGAGGACCATGGTGGTCGCTCAGCCAGCGCTGGTACTCAATCCTCTCCGGATAGACCTCCTCAAGAAGTTTGATGCCGTTGCCGAAAAATTTGCTCATGGCACTAGTCTCGAACCCGAGACCTGCCAGTCAGGAACGGAGCACTCTAAGCACTGCGCCATCAGGTTGCTATGCACGCCACCCACCTAGCGCCAAACTTGAATAGCCACCCATCTTGCTTGATGATGGACAAATTATAAGTTCGGCGCTAGGAGAGCAGCGCACATAGCAAACTGGTGGCGCAGTGGTTAGAGCGCTCCGTTCCTGACTGGCAGGTCTCGGGTTCGAGACTGGAGCCATGAGCAAATTTTTCGGCAACGGCAAAAAACTTCTTGAGGAGGTCTATCCGGAGAGGATTGAGTACCAGCGCTGGCTGAGCGACCACCATGGTCCTCCGGTAGCTCAGTGGTAAAGAGTTTGAAGTGGGAAGCGGCAGGTCCCGGGTTCGGGACCGGTAGTATACACAATTTTTTCGGTGACCAATTGCTTGGGGGGGGTATATCCAGAGAAGATTGGGTACCTGCGCAGGCAGGGCGGGTGCCATGGCGTCCCGGTGGCTCAGTGGTTAAGAGCATATCGCGGGAAGCGGGAGGTCCCGGGTTCGGGACCGGTAGTACATACAATTTTTTCGGCGACCAATTGCTTTGGGAGGTATATCCATTGAAGATTGAGTACCAGCGCAGGCAGGGCCGGTGCCATGGCGTCCCGGTGGCTCAGTGGTTAAGAGCATGTTGTGGGAAGCGGCAGGTCCCGGGTTCGAGACCGCTCCAGGTACCCTTTTTTCGCGACCAGATTTCTCGAACGGCAGCTCAAGAGGAGTTGCGACATCGCCGCCGACAAGCTGGTTCGGTGGCTGAGCGGTCAGGGTAGAGGAGTTGACTAGACTCGGCACTCGGGGTCGCGGGTTCAAATACCCAATGTGACCCCTCTGAGGTAAGGCCTCTGAATCTGGACTCTCACTGTACCACAGAAACCGCGCGCACTTCGGGTGGGCCAGCCTAATACGAACCCACTAATCTGTCGAATTGCGCGGCAGGGAGCGTCGGATGAAGGCCCGGTTCCCATAAGAACACCGAAGCTGATCGGCGGGTCTCCTTGAGACTTTCGTATTGCCACTTTTTGCTGCCGATTTTTTCCATGAAACGCACTGCGGGAATGGCGCATCATTGCCCAGCGGTAAATGTAGTTTTAGTGTGCAAGCTACCTGGTGCGAACTGGTCTTACTTCGGCGTCTTGGGCCCGCCGAGACTCGTTTTTTCCCGGACCGGGGGGCCCCAAACAATTTCCCCCCCCGTTTCCCGGGGGAAAGGGTTGACCCAAACCCTTCCGGCCCCCTGGCACCCCTTTTTTCCGGAAACCCAAACCGGGGAAACTTTGAATTTTGGGAACTCCCGCCCGGAAAGGGTTCCGGGCCACCTTCGGGGGGCCCCCCGTTAACGGGCCCCCCAAACCCGGCCAATCAAGTGGGCCCCCCCTAGCTCCCTTATGCCCCGCCCGGGGGCCTCCGGGGTGGTTTTGGGGGTTCTGCCGGCGCCCCCCTATGCGGGGGGACTCTGCCTGGCCAGCCTAAGGCAGCCCCGGATGGGCCCGGCCACCTCAAGTGGAGCCCGGCGGCTCAGACTCCTTCAGTGCGGCTGCGCGCGGCGCGCGGCGCGTCAGAGAGTGGATTTTGGAGGAGTCTGGCGTGCCGGCGCCGTCCCTAGTGCCTAGAGCCTCACCTCCGAGTACTCCAAGTCGTAGCTCCACGAGCGGGTAACTGAGTTTCCAGCGGGTTGCCTCCCCCAGGCCCCGGGCCCAGGCCCAGGCCCCGCCAGCCAAGAAGGCGCCACGCCTTCACGTGCCTCGCGTGCTCGCCGGCCCCCTCGGCGTGCTCGCTTGCACATATTGCGATTGGCGATGCCCGCGCGCCGCACCGCGCCGCACCGCACAGCGCTTGCCGTTCCAAGTTATCATCGTCCCGCCGGTTTCGGATTCAGATCCAGGTTCGGATTGTGATTGGTAGTTGCCGACAATCAGAGGCGTGTGGCGCCGGAGCGCCGGAGCGCCGGAGTCACGTATGAATGTGTAATGGCGCTTCGCTAGCTTCGCTTGCGCGCCGCTTCCGAGCGGGAGGCTGTCTCCCTCGCAGCGGGACGGGGCGCGCCGCGAGCGCGAGAGAGACAACGGACCTCGCCGCTAGCCTCGCGACGGGCTCCATTCGAACCGCAGACTGGGGGACCTGATTGCCTCACGACCGGTGCTTAGCGGCGCGTAGCTACGCCCTTGGCTGGCTACGTAACACAAACACACACAGACACACGCACCCTCTATCTCTCACTCTCTCTCTCTCTCCCTCTCTCTCTCACACACACACGCACACACACACACACACGAAGGCGCGTGCTCCCAGATGCAAACACGCAAAACAGACCAAAAAGGAAGATAAAAAAGGCTAAGCCTGCCACTGCGCTTCACCCAATCAATATATCCCTATGCTTCGCGTCTGGTTTCTCTGGTACCGTAACAAGCCCACAAGCCCCGGAGGGGAGGGGGAGGCCAAAAGTGCTGAGAGCAGAGAGAGAGAGAGAGAGAGAGAGAGAGAGAGAGAGAGAGAGAGAGAGAGATAGAGAGAGAGAGCGGAGCAGGTATGGCTGAGGAGTGCTGATTAGTGACCAGACTCCTCACGGGTCGGGTCGGCCCGCCGCCCGTCACCGTCCCTGCCCGCTTCTCTTTCATCGAGTCATCAAAAGTAATAAGAGCTGCTTCCTTTGCCATTTTATTTCCCCTTCCCCCATTTTATCAACTTTTCCACAATTCGCGCTGGGGTGTCCACCCCGCCCCGCCGCGGCCCCGCGCGAGCTGGCCCTGCTGATGGTGAAATTTCTGATGAGCAGCATAATGATTTCCAAACACGCGATCACACTTTGCGGGAAGTGATGTGACGGCGGTAATTTTAAACGACCTCGGCAAACGGCTGTACTTTGGGGCCTTTCTTTGCCTTTTTCCTCAAACTCCCCGGCGTTCCCTCAGACTCGACAGCGTTTCGCGCCACCCAATCTACATGCAAGGGGAAGTGTGCCCTGAGAGTGTGAACACATGGGCGGCCCTGGCGGCGCTCGAACCGACTCACGCCTTTACGTCATTATCAAGAGCATTCCGAAGGTCTACATTTCCATGCCCGGCGTATCCCTTAACGGGCCCCCGGGGAGGAAAGGAGGGGAGGGGGGGGGCTCTATAGCCGCGAAATAGTACTAAGGAAGGGGAGGGGGAAACGGTTGGAAAGTCGTGAAACAGCTGTGGGCATTACAGTGCAGTGCCTCGCCATGGCGGCCATGGCAGCGCCGCGCAGCCTCGCACTGCCGCCGGTCCCTTTCACCTCATTCGGTATGCCCTCTAAGCTTTCGGCTAAGCGGGGCCGTTCCGGGGCCGCCCCGCCTGGCCCCGCCTGGCCCCGCCAGCTAGAGACCAAAGGGCTGCCTTTCGGCGTCCTTTCGACCTTCTTTCGGTTCCCTTTCGGCCTCCCTTCGGCCTCCCTCCGGCCTTCCTTCGGCCTCCCTCCGGCCTTCCTTCGGCCTCCCTTCGGCCTCCCTTCGGCCTCCCTTCGGCCTCCCTTCGGCTTCCCTCCGGCCTCCCTTCGACCTCCCTTCGGCCTCCCTTCGGCCTCCCTTCAGCCTCCCTCCGGCCTCCCTCCGGCCTCCCTCCGGCCTCCCTGGCCTCCTTCCGGCGTCCCTTCGGCCTCCCTTCGGCGTCCCTTCGGCGTCCCTTCGGCGTCCCTTCGGCGTCCCTTCGGCGTCCCTCCGGCCTCCCTCCGGCCTCCCTGGCCTCCTTTCGGCCTCCCTTCTGCCTCCCTTCGGCATCCCTTCGACGCCTGCCTCTTGGACTCTCTTTTCGCTTCCTTTTGGCCGCATTCTGACTTCCCTTCTACTTGTCGTCGGCGGACTGTCTTTTGGCTGCCATTCTGCTTCCTTTTGACTGCGGCCCTGTACTGCGTCGGCGGTCTCTGCTCCTCGCATGCAGTAAGTGTGTGTGCGTGTATGTAAAGAGAGAGAGAGAGAGGGAGAGAGAGGGGGGGGGGGGCTGCGTGGCCGTCTCGCGGTGCCAATTCGGGAATGATAAACACAGCGATGCTGCGATCCGCGAGATAAGTCTGGCCCGCCTTGGCAAACTCCTTCTCTCTCTCTCTCTCTCTCTCTCTCTCTCTCTCTCTCTCTCTCTCTCTCTCTCTCTCTCTCTCTCTCTCTCCCGCCCGCTCGCTCCCCCTATCGGACAAGCGGGGAGACAGCGGACCAGGCCGCCCCCTCCCTCTGCGGCGGTACTAAGAAGTAGGAACACTATTCTGCACTCCTAATAGCCCCGAAGCGACAAAATCGACTTGCAAGGGAGGCGAAGAAAATTAGGAGCGGGGACATTTATCTCCGAGTTCTGTGACATCTGTGACAATCGCGAGGCTGGGGGGGGACTTGGGATTCGGAGACTTGAGGCGGGACCGCAAGACGGCGGCGGCGCCCCCCCCCCTCCCGCCGCACCCTTTGCATAATCCGTGTATAGAGACCGCGGAGGATCCTTCCTTCCCCACATTCGATGCCTCCTCAGCCGAGCGATTCCGGGCGAGTCGTTTCGTCGCTCCGTCTCTCTCGCACCCACGCAGGACGCCCCGCGAGCGCGAGAGAGACGGACAGAGCGACGAAAGCGACTCCTCGGAGTCGGTCAGTCCGCGGGCTCGCAGCGCATGGGGAAAAGTGCGACGAAAGTCAAACAGGAAATGATCGTAAAGATGGGGTCGGAGAGCGGGCACACTGCCGGGCACTGCCGGGCAAGGGGGCGAAATGGCGGTCGGACTGGTCGGTCGGACGGCGTGGATGCCAGTTCGGTTAAACCGGCCGCCGTCGTCATCGAAAAGGGTTACGCCCTAAATGGGGCGGGAAGGCGGAGGGGGGGGGGAGGGGGAAGGGGGAAGGGGGAAGGGGAAGGGGACTTACCTCTCGGATCAGCTCGCCCACCATGCCGTCCCAGCCTTTGGGCGAGTCCGGGTTCACGTGGCCGTACTTGCCGTCCTTCACGCGCACCAGTTTGTCTGGAAAGAGAGAAAAGGAGTGCTGTTAAGGACTGTGGCGCACTGGGCTTTGGCAGTACACTGTTTATCAGACGCCAAGACTGACACAACGATCTCTTTTTTGTTCAGAGAGCAGGGACGTTAAAACGTTGTGTTTTCAATGACAAGCCCAAAATGAAAAGGAAACACGTGAAAAAAAAAATGACAACACGGCCCGGCTTAGCAGAGAACGCCATCCTGCCTCTGAAAATCACACGACAGCTTACTGCAAGAAAGTGACAAAACTTAACAAGAAAAACAAAAACCAACCTTGGTGCGGATTTTCAACTTCCCTGACGTTTACACCAACGTTCTCTTTAAACCACCAGCCGCGGCGTACCCTTAGGCACACTCACTCTCGCACTCGTTTCAATTGGACTCTCTCTCTCTCTCTCTCTCTCTCTCTCTCTCTCTCTCTCTCTCTCTCTCTCTCTCTCTCTCTCCTCTCATCTAGAGCCGTACAACCGAAATGTCTCAAACGCCCCATTACGAGGATTTGCCAGTGAGAGCAGCGAGCGGGGAAGGAGAAAAAGCCCTCACTGTTGCCAACCCTTCCAAAGCGTGCCGCGCGTGGCGAGGTGGGGCGGGGCGGGGCGGGCGGGGCGGGGGGGCGGGGCGGGGCGGGGCGGGGCGGGGCGGGGTGGGGCGTGGCGGGGCGGGGCGGCACCCCAATTCACCCCCTTTACGCCTCCACGGCGGCACTGCCCCACCTCCGCGAACAAAACAGAGGATAAAATAAAATCATTGAATGTAAAAGAATTCCGCCGGCTCGTCCTAATGATAATCACCGTGTTGGAGGCTGAGCCGAGCCACGGCCGGGCCACGTCGGGGCTCGGCCCCGGAGCCTCCCCGGGCCGCGCCGCCCTGGCCGCCCCGGCGGGGCTGGCAGCGCGCCAGCGAGGACGCCAAAACGCCTTGCCTAAAACCCCTAAAACCAAGATAACAATAACTGTGTGTGGACTGGCCTGGGCCACGGTCGCCAAGGCGTCTTCGGGCGACGCGGGCTACTACTACCCCGCCCCGCCGCGCCAAGCTCGTTACGCAACATGATTCAGTCACAAACGCGCCGCTCGGCCACGGAGGAGTTTTGCTTTCTGGCGTGTTTTTACGTTTTTGGCACTTGGCTCGAACTGCCAATAATTAGGCCACAAGATCGGTGCAGAACAAATGATGCCCAAATGGCAATGTTTGTGCAAATTCTGGAGGCCATTTTTAAGATCGCGGTCCGAAAACGGTTCAGGGAGCGCCTGGCCTCTCTGCTCAGCTGCTAGGCTGTTGTATCCTCGTTCATCTACAGTGCACCACCACCATGCCGCCGCCTCACGGAAGGACGCATTGCCTCTCGTTGCCCCAATCCGTTTTCAAATTGAAAAAGTTGGCCTCTTTTCAATGTAAGCGAAAAGTTGGCCGGTGCAAAAACTAGCCGGCGGTGCCGCTGATGTTCGAGCCGATAGAGAAAAAAAGGGGGAAATACTTTAAGAGGGTTGCAGAGTCGGAAAAACCTTTCCGGCTGCTTTCGTAGCGACCTGCCCGAGGGTAAGACCCCAGAAAAGAAATGAGGGAGCAAACATCATGGATTATCTCAAATCTAGGCCCAAGTTTGCTGAGAATTTCAGAGAAGCTAAATTAATAATCAGGCTAATATCGTCTCTCTCACTTTTACCTGGCCTTTAGCTTGTTGGCAGCGGTAGCAACGCCCGCTTCCCCCTTCCCCCGTCGAAGCGCCGAAATCGGGAAATCATTTAGCGACGCCCCCTCCTCTCGGCGCTACTCACACGCCTTGTGTCACGCTGCGCCGGCGGTAACGAACACTCATTAATGTCACAACTTTTATCATTTATAACAATTTCCTAATGACTGCGCCGAGCGAGTGTGTGCGTGTGTGTCAGAAAGGGAGCAGCATAACGAGAGATAAGGACGCACCGAAGGGAGAGGAAGGGAGGGGGAGAGAGAGAGAGAGAGAGAGAGAGAGAGAGAGAGAGAGAGAGAAGAGAGAGAGAGAGAGAGGGAGAGAGAGAGAGAGAGAGAGAGAGAGAGAGAGAGAGTCAGCCGGGGGAACTGCGAAGGATAAGAGATGGCGCCTCTCGCAAACATCAGGCTTGGCCCCGGGCTATTTGGGAGCTCGCAGCGACCAGAGAAAAATTCTCAGGGGCACCTTCCCCGCTCCTCCCCCTCTCTCTCGCTCCAGCCCTCACCCTTTGCCTCCTATTCGCTGTAATAATTCCACCCCGAACGGAGCAGCGCTCTTTCTCTCCTCTCTCTCTCTCTCTCTCTCTCTCTCTCTCTCTCTCTCTCTCTCTTGCCCGAGGCGCCGCGTGACTCCGCGGCTCCAAATCATACCTCCTTTCCTTTTCTTTTCTTCCCCTCTCCGTCTGTCTCTCTCACTCTTCCCTTTCTTCGTGGCCCGGTATTTCATTTCCGACGGAGTGCGATGAGGAGGAGAAGAAAAGGTTCACCTAGAAGGACATGTTTGTCTGCTAACGAATGCCACCGCTTAATTAGCGACTCTGCCCGCTCCGCCCCGCCCCGCGTCCCGGACAAGGCAAGGCGAGCCTCCAGAACGATCAACACCGTCAAACATTCAGGGAGTGGGCTAATGCATGGCAGAGCACGGCTCTGAAAAAAAGTCAAAAAAGGCAGAAAACAAGGGAGAAAATAAATTCGACTTACAGGTGATGCCTAGCTTTTTGGCGACGAGGTCGGCGAGGTCCTTGCAGAAGCCTTCGTAGCCCTCCTCGGGCCGCTTGGGGTCCTTGTACATGAGGTACGGCGCCTCCTGCAAGCAAAACAGAAACAAATTAAATGCGTGACTTGCGTGCAAGAGGCCGTGAAGCATTGCGAGGGCGTCGCCAGGCGCGTCGAGCCAAGCCGAGCCGACCTGCAGGGGGACAACCTCACCAACTCGTTCTAGGACACACACTACGTAGTTTACTGCACGAAGAAATCATTTGTAAGGTTTTTGAAAGTGTGCAGAGGATTCTGAACGGTGCTTCTCTGACTCTGTCTCTCTCGCACGCCTCCGGGAAGAGTGCGAGAGAGACGTCGCGACGGTATCGCCGCGTTAATTGGCCGAGGAGTTCCTTCAGTAACGAGCCCACACCGTAAAGGCCGGCCCTGCCTCCTGCTTGGGGCCTGGGGCTCGCCTGGGGCCTGCCTGGGGCCTCGGGGCGGCCTACAGGAAGCAGGCCTCCGTGGCGTCGCTCCGTCTCTGTCGCACGCACGGGGCGCCCCGCAGTGTGCGAGAGAGACAGAGCGACTCTCCGGAATCGGCCATGTCGGGCTGCTGGACACGAGCGGCACGGCACTAACAAAGGCAAACGAAACGTACTCCGTTTTCCCGGACCTCTGAGCCGCGGCAGCAGCCCGGCAGCCCTGCACTCCGGTGACGAGTTTCTCTTATCGGATCCCCCACAGAGGTGCACGTGTGTGCCCGGCAGCGTCTCTCCCCCCCCCCCCCTCTCTCTCTCTCTCTCTCTCTCTCTCTCTCTCTCTCTCTCTCTCTCTCTCTCTCTCTCTCTCTCTCTCTCTCTCCGCTGGCTGCAGCTTTCGCAGCGGGTCCTGGCTGCTTGCCCCTTGCCCCCCTCCTCTGCCCCAGGTCCGTGCCGGTCTGCCGGTCCATGCCATTAGCGACATGAATCTGAGCCAAGCGATTAGATTTGTGCTGCCTGACCAACTTGCTGACCCCATAACCCACCGCATTACGCCTCGCCATTTCACCTTTATCTCTCTTCTTTGCTCCCTTTGTTCCGTCTCGCTCGCACTCACCCGTACGGGAGAGAGAGAGAGAGAGAGCGAGAGAGAGAGAGCGAGAGAGAGAGAGAGCCCCCTCCCCTCTCCCCGCCCTCTTTCCCCCGCGTCCTCCTCCAGCCTGCACCTGTCCTTTGGCGTGCACTGCTATCCCCCTTTCCACCCCTTCCACCCCAAAATCCCTCGGCGTGGAGGTGGTCAGCAGTTTTTATACTAATGACGGTGGCGTGCGCGCGCTGTGCCGCTCTGCCCGCCCCAATCCGGCCATGTTTGGCTCCTCCACCGCAAAATTTCATCCACACACGCCCACACCCACCCACCCACACACACACACACACTCACACACGGACGCACACACGCGCGCAAGCACGTACGTATACGTACCATGATGCTCGTCACGATGTAAGTCTTGTTCTTGAGGATGTCCGGCTTGGAGTGGTGCAGGTACTTGGGGGCCAGGGGCACCAGCCCCTTGTTGTCGCTCCACTCCGCCACCTGCAGCAACATTAACAACAACAACAAGAGGGTCAACAACACGCCACAACAACAACAAAAACAACACTCGACGAGCGGATCGGGCGGCTAGCGCCTGCGGTCCTCGGGGTAGGCCACCCGTCCGCTTGGGTGTCCGGCGGGATGGCCTATCCTCGACTCCGCGGGCGCTGTCATGCCCGCGCAGGGAAAAAACTCCGGACGCGTTTGGAGCTCCAGAGTCGCTTAATGGGACTCGAACCGAGCGTGTGACCCCACCAATGGATTCCTCGTTCGGAGAGCGATCCATTGGTGGGGTCACACGGTCGTTTCGAGTCCTGTTCAGCGACTCTAGAGCTCAAAACGCGTCAGGGATTTCACCGCGCGGTCTTCTGGCCCACTGTGCGGCGCGGAAGAGGAAAGAAGAAGAAGAGGAAGAAGAAGAGGAGGAAGGAGTGGAAGAAGATAATAACGACGCCGGCGATTTGGAACGTGTCGGGGCAAAGACTGGCGGCCGGGGCTTTTCTACAGGAAATGAGCTTTGTTTGAGAGAAGGCGGAGGCGAACGCGGCGGGCGCGGCCGACCCGACGCGGCGGGAGCGCGGTCCGACGGGTAATGTAGCAGACACGCCCGCGTTCCGGACATTTTTTTCCCCGCCATAATAATAATAGTCATAATTTTAATAGTAAAAATAACGATGCGAATCTATGAAATGTCTCATTCGACAAAGCCCTGCACACTAGGCCAATTTGACAAAGTCGCGCACACCTCCTGGTAACCAGTGTTGCCTTGGAAACAGCAAATAGATTCGCATCTCCAGTAAAAGTGAACACTGTAGAAAAGGAGAATGCGGCAGCAGAGTACTGCCGGTGGGGCTGGGACACTGCAGCCTGCTTCCCAGAGTTGTTTCTGTCGCTCTGTCTCTCTCGCACTCATGGGTCGCCCTTAAGGGCGCGAGAGAGACAGAGCGACCAAGGCGACTCTCAGCGTGCTGATGCGCCAAGATGGGCAGCGGGGCCCGGCGGGGCCCAGGCGGCCTGGGGGGGCACAGCAGGAAATTTGCTTTGATTCGGTCCCGGCACAGCGGTTCGGAGCTTCACTTTCGGTCTCTGTCTCTCTCGGGCTAATGTGACGTTCCGCACGGGTGCGAGAGAGACGGAGCGGCGGCACGCTGTGAGCGGAGTCAGTCTGCAGCTTGTCGTCGGCCTGGTGCTGCTCGCTCCGCCAACAGGCCCGTGGTCGCCCCGCCCCGCCCCGCCCCGCCCCGCCCCGCCCCGCCCCGCCCCGCCCCGCCCCGGCCTTTGGATTGACGACCACGCCGCCCCGCCCTGACCCCTGCGCCCTGCGCGTGCCGTCGTGGTCTGCGGACTCGGGTTTGTTTGTTCCAGCTTAATTTCCGGGCCAGTCGGAGCGGGACGACGAGGACGACGAGGACGACGAGCAGGACCAAGTGCGCCTACCGGCCGGCCCACAATGGACCAGACGACCGGCGCAGGCGGCCAAAACACGTTTTGAGCTCCTGAGTCACTTAATGGGACTCGAACCGAAGGTGTGACCCCACCAATGGATTCCTCGTTCGGAGAGCAATCCATTGGCGGGGTCACCTTCGGTTCGAGTCCCATTCAGCGACTCTGGAGCTCAAAACGCGTTCCACCGGTCAAACGACTCACGCGTGCGGAAATCAAGATGCCCCTGCGCGTTTTACAGCGGCGCGGCGGCCTCGGCCTCCACTATTGATAAACCCCAACTATTAATCACGTTCGCGTTATTAATAAAGCCGGCCGCCGTGCTCCGCGACTCCGCGTGCTCGGGGATGAAAAATGGAGCCGCAAGTCACGAATCTGGTGTAGTCGAGGGACACACCGCCCCTCGGGCACTCCCCTTTTTCATAGCGCCGCGCTGTCAGTAAGAGCTGACGTAAAAGTAGCAAGGAAGACGACCGCGAACGCGCGCGCGTGCGAGAGAGAGAGAGAGAGAGAGAGAGAGAGGAAGCCGACGGTACGCGCACCCCACCAAAGTGGAGCGAACAGCGGAACGGTGACTACCCGTTTGCTGACGGCGTGGCAGCCTCGCTCGCCTGACACCGCGACCATCAATCCGTTAATTAATCTACTTCAACGGCAGCACGCGGATTCCGGGTAGAGCTTCGTCGCCCTGCCTCTCTCGCACCGTAGTAAACGTCCCACGCGTGCGAGAGAGACAGGGCGACGCCGTTCGGAGTCCCGGCCCAGTGCTGCAGTGTAGCTCAGCGACGGCGGCGCACAGTGGGCCAGAAGACCGAAACTCTAGACGCGTGTTGAGCTCCAGAGTCGCTAACCAGGACTCGAACCGAGCGTGCGACCCCACCAATGGATTCCCCGTCCGAAGAGCAATCCATTGGTGGGGTCACACGCTCGGATCGAGTCCCATTTAGCGACTCTGGAGATCAAACCGCGTCCGGGACTTCACCGTTCTCCTTGCGAAGGGCGCGCGCTACAGTGTAAAAAAGGCCCACCTTGACGATGTTGCTGTTGATGGCCATCTCCACGACGTGCAGCGTGTAGTTGACCCTGCGGCCCGCCTCGTTGAACCGGATGTCCCCCGTCAGCCCCTCCAGCTCCACCTGGAGGACAACAAGACACACGTCAGCGCACGTCAGGCGGGCAGAACACCGTAAAATGAGGCATAGTTTTAAAGAGCAGTTGCGGTTAAGGCTGGTGCGTCGCGAGGTAGCCGGCCGCAAAACTTTGCATGGGACTTCAAAAAAAAAAAAAAGTGACCGGCAAATTGAAAGGAAAAGTGGAAAAAAAGTGCATGGGGTGGCTGCCCTGTGATAAACGAGCGATCCGCCGCTGACAAGCTGAGGTACGGGCCCGGCCTACAGCCCGGCCTGGGGATCCAGCGAGGGATCCAGGCATCCCAGTCCGTCATCCCCGACCAATTTAACGTGCCCTCCACCGCGCGGTTCAAGTCCTCGGCCCAGCGCCGCCCAGCGCCGTGTCCGAAGAAACTTTTTAGATTGGTTCTCATAGCGGTAGCAAGTCTTTGTGCGGCGGTCGAGGAAAAAGAATTTTAAAAAAAGCGTGAGAAAAAAAATCCAGACGAGAGCGGCGGGTTCACACGGGGATGGCGACCCAGCGGAAGGACGGCTGATATCATTAACGCCGGATTGATAAGGGAGGCGACCCTTTTGGCGGCTTATCGCCACGTCAGCGAGCGGCGCGCCATTTTACATTTTAAAGGCGATAAAAATGTAACCGTCGCCAGAACGAAGCGCGGCCTCATCAGACGCGCTTTCGGGTCATTAAGGGCCTCTGCAGGGCTTTTGCAGGCCTCTTAGGCCGTCAGCGTCCAGGTGACTTTCAGGAAGCCCCGGCCCTTGCGAGGTTTGTGCGAGGCTAGACGTACCTGCGCACAGTGGGCCAGAAGGCCGGCGCAGTGCAGGCAGTCAAAACTCTAGACGCGGTTTGAGCTCCAGAGTCGCTAAGCAGGACTCGAACCGAACGTCTGACCCCACCACTGGATTCCTCGCTCGGAGAGCGATCCATTGGTGGGGTCAACGTTCAGTTCTAGTCCAATTTAACGACTCTGAAACTCAAATCGCGTCCAGAAATTTCGCCGCCTCCCGGTCTTCTGGCCCACTGTGCTGCGTACTTTTCGACGCTAGCTGCCTACGTCACTTAGGCCCTTGGTGTGCCCAGGTCGTTTAGGCCCTATGCACCTCCAGCAGCCATTTAGGCCCCCGCGCGCCAGTCCCTTCCGGCCCTTGCACCTTCATTTCCATTGTGGAGCTGCCGTGCCGTGCCGTGCCGTGCCGTGCCGTGCCGTGCCGTGCCGTGCCGTGCCGTGCCGTGCCGTGCCCTGGGCCCTTGCCCTCGGCCCCACCGCCGCGAGGGTTGTTCCGTGGGGTCGTCTCCTTGACGCCACACGCACACTGGAGACACGGCGCGCCGCGCCGCAGCTCCGCGGCGAGGAGGTGTCCGGTGTCTCCATAACGGGGCGTGAGGCAGTGCGGCAGGTACTTGGCGGCGTCGAGGGCCCGGCTGCACTAATGAGTGCGACGGAGAGGTACGCGGCGAGACACTGCTTCCCTCTCCGTCGCACTCACGGCGAGTCCCGTCCGGGCGCGACAGAGACAGACGAGGGGCCGCGGCCAGGAGATGGCCCACGCAGAGTCGGGTTGCAAGCCACGCCGAGCGCCCCCTCCCTCTCGTGGGAAATGACTCCCCTTCGGAGGCACGCGCTGCAGCGAGCCGCTTCGCGTCCTCTTCGAGGACGACACTCGCTCCGTCTCTCTCGCACTCACGGGCGTGCCGTCGCGGTGCGAGAGAGACAGGGCGATTTAATTACTTCCCAAACTGTATAATGCCGCGTGGCGACACTACACTGCACGCCACGCTGCTCATGAAGAATTCATCCGCCGACAGGGAGAAAAGTTGCGATTGCCGCCTTGCGCCGCTGGCACGGCTGCACAGTGGGCCAGAGGGTCGGCGCCGGCGGCCAAAACTCTAGGCGCGTTTTGAGCTCCAGAGTCGCCAAACAGGCCTCGAACTGAACGTGTGACCCCACCAATGGATTCCTCGTCCGGAGAGCAATCCATTGGTGGGGTCACACGTTCGGTTCGAGTCCCGTTCAGCGACTCTGGAACTCAAAACGCGTTGGACTTTGACCGCCTCCACCGGTCGCCTGGCCCACTGTAGGGTGCTACGGTACCCACCTTGCGCAGGTTGCGGGAGATCTTGTCGCCGTGCTCCCACGTGAGCGAGGCGTTGCAGTCCGGCCACCTGCTGCTGTTGGAGGCACCGTTGGCGCCCGCGCCGCGCCGCAGCGGCGGCTTCAGCAGCTCCTGCTTCTTCTTGAGCAGCTTGTTGAGGGCCTCCACCAGCACGAACACCGCGTCGTACATGAGTGCGGCGTGGGCCTGCGGAGCAACAACTCAGTGAGGAATGGTGAGGACGAGTGGCGGATTTGACGGCCGATTCAGGCGAGTCACTGCGTCTCTCTCAGTCGCTCTCATGGGGCTGTCCGCAAGGGCGCGAGGGAGACAGAGCGACCGCTCCACAGTGGGCCAGACGACTGACGGAAGTGGCCAAAAATCTAGAAGCGTTTTGAGCACCAGAGTCGCTAAATGGGACTCGAACCGAGCGTGTGACCCCCACCAGTGGATTCCTCGTTCAGAGAGCAATCCGTTGGTGGGGTCACACGTTCGGTTCGAGTCCCATTCAGCGACTCTGGAGCTCAAAACGCGTCCGGGATTTTGGCCGCCTCCACCGGTCCACTGCGTGTCGGCGAAGAAGACGGCGACTCACCGAGATGGTGGTGGGGTTGTAGCGGGCGTTGGGCGCGGCGGCCAGCCCCGCCACGTGCTGCTTCCAGCCCTCCATGAACTCGCGGACGTGCTTCTTGGCCGTGTCCACGATGCGGAAGCCCGTGATGTTCATGGCCTCGTACTCCAGCACGTCAGTCTCCCACCGGTCGTCCATGATCTGCGGACAGAGACAGGGTGGACGTCACATCGCTCCGCGCGCTGTCTCTCTCGCACTCACGGAGCGTCCCGTGCAGGTGCGAGAGAGACAGAGCGACGACTCACAGTGGGCAGGCCGCGGAGTGGCTTCACTTATTTACAACAGCCGAACGGATGAGACGGTCCGCTTCCGGCCGGCCGGGCCGGCAGTAGCTTCTTTGCCCCAATCTAATCTGCCCCATGTGTCTTCCCCGCGCCTGCCCGGCCGACTGCGGCCGCCGCCCGCTCCGTCCGTCATCCTTTTATCTCTTTCCTGAGAGCGAGAGGGAGGGAAAGAGAGAGAGAGAGACAGAGAGAGGGCCGGGCAGTGCGATGTCCCTGCGATGAATGCGTTGGCCCCGGCGGGGTTATCGCAACTTTGTGACCACGCGACGCCCGCCTGCATGCCGCCCTGGCCGTGCCGTGCCGTGCCGTGCCAACACACCTGCGCGTCACATAGCGTCCTCCGCATTCCGCGCCTCTTTTTTCGATTCACGTACTTCTTTTCGCTTTTTCGTTCGCAGCGCGCCACCCGCAGCAGCCGCCCGCACTGCTCACTGTTGGAAAGCTAACGCGATTCTCGTCGACTCAACACGGAATAATCCTCCATGACTAGTCCGGTGCTGCAACGCGGTGGCAGCGGACTCCTCCACTGCAACGCCCTTTTCCTCCAGAGTCGCCTTCTCTCTCTCTCTCTCTCTCTCTCTCTCTCTCTCTCTCTCTCTCTCTCTCTCTCTCTCTCTCTCTCTCTCTCCCTCTCTCTCTGGCTGCACTCGCTGCAAAGCGCGCGGCGATGCCACTATCAAAACGGCCAAATTGGCCGACTGGCGGCTGTTGGAATATCTCACCGCTGCGCGCGGTCCCCGCCCCGCCCCGCCGCCTGCCGCGCCCTTGTCTGATAACGCCGACTTAAAACTTGGCCCACAATATTTCAGGCCGTCAATTGGCTGGCAGGGCAGCGCTGCAGGCTGACTCCAAGCGGCGTCGCTCTGTCTCTCTCGCACTCACGGGGCATCTTGTAGGAGTGCGAGAGAGACAGAGCGACTCGGTTCGGCATCAGCCTGCTGGCTACGCTGCGCCCCGGCGGGCCGCGCCGTGAATCAGGGCCTACCTGATGAGAGACAAGATTCGACTCAAACAAATGACGCGGGGTGGGGCGGGACGGGGTGGAGCGGGGCGGGGGGGCGGGGCGGGGCGGGGCGGGGCGGGCGGGGCGGGGCGGGGCGGGGCGGGAGGCTGCAAACTTTGTCCACGCGGCCATTTCCTCGGCGCAGCACGGCGCTGTCAAAATTAGCCCCTCCCCTTCCCTTCCGCCACCGCCCTGCGTCCAAATTCTCACTATTCTTCGTCACTGTAAAACTGAAACGAATTTAGGGCGCGTCCCGGCGTCCCTCGAGACGCGAGGGTGTCATGCCGTCATGACTGGCGGGCCTGACAGCTGTTCGTCGTCTTCGGCACCGCCGCCGCCGGGAGTCGAACCCGAGCCGCGCCGCGGATCACTTTTCACTCTGTGTGTGTCTCTCTCCCACTCACTCGAGCCCCATCGGAACGAGAGAGACGTAACAAATGGCCGGGTCACGGGGCCGCGGGTGGCACATTATTTCACATTGAATGATAATATCATAAATCAATTGGGCTGCGCGTCGCGTCGCATCGCACCGCCTCGCCGCGCGGTCCTCTTTAAATACATGAGTGTCATTTGCCAGGCGCCTTCTTTTGTTGCGTGCTCGATCGGCGCTGGGGTCGTTTTCAGTTTGTCACGCGCGACCTCGCAGCGGCGGCCTTCCAGGCTTTCAGGCCGAAGCGCCGCCGCCCCACTCGAGCCTTGCTTTATAAAACAGATAAAACGAGAACAAAGTCGCCGCCGCTTCTTCCTCACAGTGGGCCAGAAGACCGGCGGAAGCGGCCAAAACTCTACACGCGTTTGGAGCTCCGCAGAGTCGATAAACAGGACTCGAACCGAGCGTGTGACCCCACCAACGGATTCCTCGTTCGCAGAGCAATCCATTGGTGGGGTCACACGTTCGGTTCGAGTCCCGTTTAGCGACTCTGATCTCGAAACGCGTCTAGAGTTTCGACAGCCTCCACCGGCCTTCTGGCCCACTGTGTCCCGCCCCGCCGTACTCACCAGCCCACTCAGCAGGTAGTGGTAGATCCGCTTGCCCAGCTGCACGTCGCGCGCGTGCGCCACCACGATCTCCTTGGCCATCTCCGTGGTGCAGTCCAGCACGATGTACTTGTGCGTCCACCGCGCCGACCTGGAACAGGAAAACACACGCGCCGTGAAAACAGAGTCGGGACGCGTCCCCTCCGACTTTCCAAACACCGCGCCGACCAATCTGCCAGGCCGGCCTGCCGAGTGATTCCGAGGGTCGTTTTCGTCGCTGTTTCCCTCGCACCTCCACGGGGCGCCCCGTGAGTGCGACAGAGGCAGAGCGACGAAAACGACTCTCGGAATCAGTCTGCAGGCCGGCCTGGCCGCTATTATTTTGGCTGGGCGACTTCATCAGAGTCGACCGGCCGGCAGGGGCAGGGGGGTCACGCCGGGAAAAGAAAATGAATCAGTTTTCTCAGCCAACAAGACTGTCTGCGCGACGGGCACGGTCGAACCGAAGAATGTGGGCGAACTAACGATGTTATTTATCTGGCGGACCAACTTCTCATCTCGGGACTGATTTATCCTACCGGGGAGACTCTGCACAGTGGGCCAGAAGACCGGCGCCGGCCGCCAAAACTCTAGACGCGTTTTGAGCTCCAGAGCCACTAAACAGGACTCGAACCGAGCGTGTGACCCCACCAATGGGTTCCTCGTTCGGAGAGCTATCCATTGGTGGGGTCACACGTTCGGTTCGAGTTCCATTTAACGACTTTGGAGCTCAAAACGCGTCCGGGATTTTGACCGCCCCCACCGTTCTTCCGGTCCACTGTGCACTGTGCAGGGTCGAGCTGGAGTCGAGTCGCTACGACTCGTACAGGGAGATCCACTCCTACAGGTCGGAAAAAGCAGCAGCAGCGAGAACCATTCCGTAACCCGGCCGTGGTAATCCGGGACGAAAACATGATGTTTTCTGCCACTCCGCGGGAAGCTACCCCCTCTTCTACTTGGCGCCATTCTCGCAGCACAGCAGCACACGTTCATACCCCCACCCCCACCCCCACCCCCCGCCACGCCTCATACCCACGCCGTCACTGCTGACAACGCCTTGCGCGGCCTTGCGCGCGTTAACGGAGCGTGAAAAACGCGGAAGTCGCGGCTTTCCGCACTTTAACCTCTTCACGCAAAACTCCTCAGCCACCGCCAGCGCGCCCCTCCCCCTCCCCCTTCCCCCTCGCTTTTTCTTTCATATCTACGACACACGCGCGGCCTCCACGCCCCACTGCCGCCACCTGTCCCGCGGCAACGTTTTCATCGTCGCTTTTCACCTGCCTCCCTGACAACCCTCTCCCCCCTTCCTCTCCCTTCCGCATCCCCGATTGACGGTCGCATTTTCCATACACACACAACACACGAACTCCCAGCCTGATGAGCGGCCGACCAAGTCCCACCACCACGAGCCACCATGGCCCACCATTATGAGGCACCACCATGAGACACCGTGGGCTAATGGCTAACCACCATGAGTCAGTCAACATTACCCACCATGGGTTACCACCATGGGTAACCACCATGGGCCACCACAATGGGCCACCACCATGGGCTACCACCATGGGCCAGTACCATGGGTCACCACCATGGGCCACCACCATGAGTCAACCTGATCCACCATGGTCTACCACCACACGGTTAGACTTGGTCCTGAAAGATTCAGGACCGTAACGCGTCCCTGAGGTAGCCGGACACCCGTTTCCAGGACGGGAGTGGCGAAATTCAACCAGTTTGCCGTTTGGTCCTGGAAACGGGTGTCATTGGCGACGTTTGTCACCCGTTTCCAGGACGGTTCGGAATGTTTGGGGCTCTCGGTCCTGGAAACGAGTCTCGGCGGGCCCAAGACGCCGAAGTAAGACCAGTTCGCACCTGGTAGCTTGCACACTGAACTACATTGTACCGCTGGGCAATGATGCGCCATTCCCGCAGTGCGTTTCATGGAAAAAATCGGCAGCAAACAGTGGCAATACGAAAGTCTCAAGGAGACCCGCCGATCAGCTTCGGTGTTCTTATGGGAACCGGGCCTTCATCCGACGCTTCCCTGCCGCGCAATTCGACAGATTAGTGGAGTTCGTATTGGGCTGGCCCACCCGAAGTGCGCGCGGTTTCTGTGGTACAGTGAGAGTCCAGATTCAGAGGCCTTACCTCAGAGGGGTCACATTGGGTATTTGAACCCGCGACCCCGAGTGCCGAGTCTAGTCAACTCCTCTACCCTGACCGCTCAGCCACCGAACCAGCTTGTCGGCGGCGATGTCGCAACTCCTCTTGAGCTGCCGTTCGAGAAATCTGGTCCCGAAAAAAGGGTACCTGGAGCGGTCTCGAACCCGGGACCTGCCGCTTCCCACAACATGCTCTTAACCACTGAGCCACCGGGACGCCATGCCACCCGCTCTACCTGCGCTGGTACTCAATCTTCTCTGGATATACCTCCCGAAGCAATTGGTCGCCGAAAAAATTGTGTATACTACCGGTCCCGAACCCGGGACCTCCCGCTTCCCGCAACATGCTCTTAACCACTGAGCCACCGGGACGCCATGGCACCCGCCCTGCCTGCGCAGGTACCCAATCTTCTCTGGATATACCTCCCGAAGCAATTGGTCGCCGAAAAAAAGGTGTATACTACCGGTCCCGAACCCCGGGGCCTCCCGCTTCCCGCGACATGCTCTTAACCACTGAGCCACCGGGACGCCATGGCACCCGCCCTGCCTGCGCAGGTACCCAATCTTCTCTGGATATACCCCCCAAGCAATTGGTCGCCGAAAAAATTGTGTATACTACCGGTCCCGAACCCCGGACCTGCCACGTCCCACATCATGCTCTTTACCACTGAGCTACTGGAAGACCATGGCACCTGCTCTGCAAGCGCTGGTACTCAATCATCTCCGGATAGACCTCCTCAAGAAGTTTGTCGCCGTTGCCGAAAAATTTGCTCATGGCACTAGTCTCGAACCCGAGACCTGCCAGTCAGGAACGGAGCACTCTAACCACTGCGCCATCAGGTTGCTATGCACGCCACCCACCTAGCGCCAAACTTGAATAGCCACCCATCTTGCTTGATGCTGGACAAATTATAAGTTCGGCGCTAGGAGATCGGCGCACACATAGCAAACTGGTGGCGCAGTGGTTAGAACGCTGCGTTCCTGACTGGCAGGTCTCGGGTTCAAGACTAGTGCCATGAGCAAATTTTTCGGCAACGGCAACAAACTTCTTGAGGAGGTCTATCCGGAGAGGATTGAGTACCAGCGCTGGCAGAGCGAGCACCATGGTCCTCCGGTAGCTCAGTGGTAAAGAGCATGATGTGGGAAGTGGCAGGTCCCGGGTTCGGGACCGGTAGTATACACAATTTTTTCGGCGACCAATTGCTTGGGGGGGTATATCCAGAGAAGATTGGGTACCTGCGCAGGCAGGGCGGGTGCCATGGCGTCCCGGTGGCTCAGTGGTTAAGAGCATGTCGCGGGAAGCGGGAGGTCCCGGGTTCGGGACCGGTAGTATACACAATTTTTTCGGCGACCAATTGCTTCGGGAGGTATATCCAGAGAAGATTGGGTACCTGCGCAGGCAGGGCGGGTGCCATGGCGTCCCGGTGGCTCAGTGTTTAAGAGCATGTCGCGGGAAGCGGGAGGTCCCGGGTTCGGGACCGGTAGTATACACAATTTTTTCGGCGACCAATTGCTTCGGGAGGTATATCCAGAGAAGATTGGGTACCTGCGCAGGCAGGGCGGGTGCCATGGCGTCCCGGTGGCTCAGTGGTTAAGAGCATGTTGCGGGAAGCGGGAGGTCCCGGGTTCGGGACCGGTAGTATACACAATTTTTTCGGCGACCAATTGCTTCGGGAGGTATATCCAGAGAAGATTGGGTACCTGCGCAGGCAGGGCGGGTGCCATGGCGTCCCGGTGGCTCAGTGGTTAAGAGCATGTTGTGGGAAGCGGCAGGTCCCGGGTTCGAGACCGCTCCAGGTACCCTTTTTTCGGGACCAGATTTCTCGAACGGCAGCTCAAGAGGAGTTGCGACATCGCCGCCGACAAGCTGGTTCGGTGGCTGAGCGGTCAGGGTAGAGGAGTTGACTAGACTCGGCACTCGGGGTCGCGGGTTCAAATACCCAATGTGACCCCTCTGAGGTAAGGCCTCTGAATCTGGACTCTCACTGTACCACAGAAACCGCGCGCACTTCGGGTGGGCCAGCCCAATACGAACTCCACTAATCTGTCGAATTGCGCGGCAGGGAAGCGTCGGATGAAGGCCCGGTTCCCATAAGAACACCGAAGCTGATCGGCGGGTCTCCTTGAGACTTTCGTATTGCCACTTTTTGCTGCCGATTTTTTCCATGAAACGCACTGCGGGAATGGCGCATCATTGCCCAGCGGTACAATGTAGTTCAGTGTGCAAGCTACCAGGTGCGAACTGGTCTTACTTCGGCGTCTTGGGCCCGCCGAGACTCGTTTCCAGGACCGAGAGCCCCAAACATTCCGAACCGTCCTGGAAACGGGTGACAAACGTCGCCAATGACACCCGTTTCCAGGACCAAACGGCAAACTGGTTGAATTTCGCCACTGCCGTCCTGGAAACGGGTGTCCGGCTACCTCAGGGACGCGTTACGGCCCTGAATCTTTCAGGACCAAGTCTAACCGTGCATGGACCACCATGGACCACCGAGCACATGGACCGCAATTATACGGTGGCTGTGGTTGCTCCCCCCTCCCCGCCTCGCACCGTGCTTGTCAAGCATACAGCGAGGCGGTCCGTGGCTGGCTGCTTCCTCCGCGACGCCCCCACACCCCTCCCCGCGGTCCGTCGTTAGCGGCACCTGTGCCGGCGCATAGCGCACCTGGCCGTGGCGTGGCGGAGCGTGGCGGGGCGTGGCGGGGCGTGGCGGGGCGTGTGTCCGAGGCCCGGACGACCCCTCCTCGAGCAGGCCAGCGGCGGCGTGGCCAAGGCGTGGCGGCCAGAGGACCAGCAAGGCAGGGCCTGGGCAGGGCCCCGCAGCCCCGCAGGCCAGAGGCCGCCAGAGGCCATATGGGGTCACGTACCCCCTCGTTTGGCACCCCTGCCGGCCAGGCTGGATCCAGGCTGGACCGGCCGTCCGGGCCATCATAGAGCGGCAATGGGACGACGGCCCGTCGCTCTGTCTCCCTCGCACCTGCACGGCACGCCCCACGAGTGCGAGAGAGACAGAGCTCTCGGAATCCAGGCCCTCCATGACGGCGGCGGGGTGGCGGCAGGGCCGGCGGCACTAGCGGGTCGTTTGGGAGCCAACCGCCATATCACAGCCAATCGTTAATTAACACGCCCCATACCTACGGCCAAGCAGTGCCCGCCCCATCCCCCTTTCCTTACTCATTTCCACCTCTATATTTTCCCGTACCGCACACGCGCTCTCTTACACTCACACATTCACACACGCGTACGCGCACACACACACACACACACACACACACACACACACACACACACGCGCGGGCCGCGGACACCACCCGCCGCCCGATATTATGACATGGGCGCAAAATAACACTGTTCGGTGATGAGCGCGCCAAATTTTCCCACGCCCCGCCCCGCCCCGCCCCACCCCGTCGTAATGGGGAGCAAGCAGTGGCCAATAAAGGGTGTCCATTGCGTGGCTGGCCCACCTGCCCCGCTTCCCAGGCCGCTGTGTGTGCGTTATAATGACGAGTCTACTGCCTTGCCTACCTGGTCCTGCAGACTGATTCCGAGAGTCGTTTTCGTCGCTCAGTCTCTCTCGCACGTACAAGGACGCCCCTTGGTAAAGGAGACAGTGCAGACGAGACGACGAGAACGACTCTCAGTCTGCTGTCCAGCTTCCTACTCGGCACCAGTCAGATCAAAGCACGCACTCTAACAAAACCAACAAAATTACTCACTTGCTGGAGTTCTCCAGGCTGTGCAGGAACTCGATGGCCTCGGACGCGTTGGTCACCCTCTTGACCATCTCCACCTGGAAGCCGTGGGGGCCCGGCTTGAGGCTCTGGTAGATTTGCTGCAGCCGCAGCAGGCCTGGAACACGCGGGAAGCACACCGTCAGGGAAAACTCGTCGTCGCAGCATCGTGCCATTCATCTTTGCGTCAACGAACAGAGAACACGGTTTGGCCTTGGACTGGTCAACGCTGTAAGGAACTCGTGACCATGCGAAATGAAGAGAGAGCGTAGGTACACTTTGTACACTTATTCTATTTCGGGTTATATACAATTGATAGGTTAGGTCGCGTCGCGAGTCGAGGGGCCGGAGCACGCGCGATGTGCTCGGGTCCCGGTCGGCGGCGAAGTGACCCCGGGCCCCAGGACGCCGGCCGGTCTGTCCTGCAGGGCGGCAAGCCCTAGCTGGCAGCCGGCGGTGCGGCCTGGGCCCGGCCGCTGCCGCGGCCACTCCGGGCGGCGGTGAGCGCCTGCGGGTAGGCAACCCCTCGCCTACGGAAGTCCATGGGGTTGCCTACCGGGCCGGCGGTCGCCACAACGCTGACGGCTACCGAAATTCGGGGCTTTTTTTCTCTCGCGTCGGATTCAAGCCAATCAGACGTCAAACTGACTGGTTCGGCGAAGCGAGGACAAAGAGGAAGAGGAATCGACAGCAAGGAGGAGGAGCCGAGGAGGCAGCCGAGCCAGCGTCTTCCCTGCTCGTCTCTGTACTACTTTATTCCAGGCGAAAGAAATCCCCATAAAGGGTCGCCCGTTACGGACCCTAAAACTTCCACTAGAGAGAGGGAGAGAGAGAGAGAGAGAGAGAGAGAGAGAGAGAGAGAGAGAGAGAGAGAGAGGAGAGAGAGAGAGGAGAGAGAGGGAGAGAGAGAGAGACAGAGAGAGAGAGACAGAGTGAGAGAGAGAGACGCTCTCGAACGCAGGGCGCACGCAGTGGGCGGGGAAGGCATCGGATTATGTATTGTTCGGCGCATTACGCTGTGGGGATTCGGTCGGGACGACACATGGACTGCTTCAAGTTCGCAGAAAAAAATCACCTCTAAATCTAAGTAAAGAGTTTCCGGTGAGGCACTGAGGCAGTCCACCCCTCCGGCACCGCCTTCGACGGGGCCGGCGGTCTCGCTCGGTCATCTCTCTCGCACCCCTAGGGTGTCCTGCGGGAGCCGCCACGAGTGCGAGAGAGACAGATAAAAATCAGTGTTCGGACTGCGGGTCTCCTCCACGGCACTGCGAGGGGCTCCGCGTCGCATCGCTTCGCATCGCTTTGAGGCGTTTGGTCAGTATCGACCGTCCTAACGCGGCCAAAATTTGTTGGCCGGTCCGCTGGCCGCGCGCCAGCAGACTCATTCCGAAGATTCGTGGCGTCGCTCTGTCTCTCTCGCACTCGTGGGGCGTCCCCAGTGGGTGCGAGAGAGACAGAGCGACGCGGTTCGGCATCGGCCTGCAGTTCTGCGGTCTCCTGGCGTGTTGTCATGCCAGCCCCCCGGCCCGGCCAGCCCGGCCAGCCCTCGGCCCAGACGGCCCCAGCCGAGGCCGAGGCCCGCCGAGGCCCAGGCGGAAGCACGCAAAAACTCCACTTCCGCGGCGCGCGGTCGCATAAAAGTGCAGGATCACGAGCTCTCCGCGCGGATTGTGGCGCGACAAACATTTTTCCCCTTTTTCATTTTTTCGCGTTAACCGCTTTCCACACTGAAAACTCCACAGTGCGTGGTCCTGACTTTTCGAGACACTCGCGGGCCGCGGGCGGGCCCGACTGAATCAGTGAATAACAACTCGTTTCGAATAACATCGGCGACCGTTTGCGAACTGGGCCGCGTCTCGAAACAAGAGCCGGCTAGGCGTGGCGGCAAAACTTTTTGGCGCGATGAGTTTAAAAATAATTCTTTGGCCGCGGGAGGCGCCGCGGTGCCGCGCGGCCGCGAGCCACCGCCCGCACCACACGGCATAAAACAACTTCTCGGACGCTCCGTCAAAGTCAACGCTTCGACACTGGCCATTTTTAATTTGAAAACTTTTCTCGATTATGTCGTTTTTGTTATCAAAAAGACAAAGCCGTCTTATTTCCGGTCGTCGGTCGTTGCCGAGATGAACCGATACGACGACTCGGTGCAGCGCTGCAGAACGGAAACGGGAAGGGGGGGGGGGGGGGGGGGGGGGGAAGAAGAGAGAAGAAGAAGAAGAAGAAGAAGAAGAAGAAGAAGAAGAAGAAGAAGAAGAAGAAGCAAGAAGAAGAAGAAGAAGAAGAAGAAGAAGAAGAAGAAGAGAAGAAGAAGAAGAAGAAGCAAGAAAATGGGTGAGCGAGAGACACCGGACAAACGCTGTGCTGCCGCGCTCTGACACGGCCAATATTACTCCGGACACGTGTAGCGCCGTGTAGCCCAGCATCTCATTTGCATACCCAATACACTGCCAAACGGATGTGCTGCTCGCAACACGACTCTTATTGTGACGGAGAGCACAAAAGGGGGAGTCCCGTGAGGATGGGTGGGTGTGCGACACCTGGGGCCGTTCTCTCTCTCTGCCCGTCTGCAATTCGCAATAGTGCTTGGCTCTGAAAGTCGCTCACGACACCGGAAGTCACTTCCGGTTTTCCTCTCTGCGGAAGTGGCGCTCCGATTAGCGCGATGCGCATCGCGCTTGCTGCCGCATCGCCCGGCATCGCCCCGAACGACAGTGCCGCCGCCTGACGACGCCCTTCTGCCTAATTAGTGTCATCCAGGGTCACTTTTCTCCGGAAAGAGCGGCAGCGCAGTGGATAGCGCGCTTGCGCCCCAAGCTAGAGGTGCCCGGTTCGACTACCGGGACGCGAATTATTTTTTATCATCGCCGAGTCTAATGCCGCTGTTTTCAAAACGTCAGTCAGCCCGTCTTGCGATGTGTCTCTGCGACGCCCTCCCGAGGTCGCCGCCTGTCTGTCTGTCTGTCTGTCTGTCTGCCTGTCTGTCTGTCTGTCTGTCTGTCTGTCTGTCTGTCTGTCTGTCCGTCCGTCCGTCCGTCCTCGATAAACTGGCCGGTCACGCCCCGTGATTGGTGGATCCTGACCGCGGCGAATCCCCGGCCCTGCCCGCCTGAAAAGAAATCCCACCACGTCCATTCCGCGTGATACCGCCATAGACGGCTCGATGGCCACCTCTGTCTGGCGTCCTGCCTCTGTGTGTGTGTGTGTGCGTGCGTGCGTGTGTGTGTGTGTGTGTGTGTGTGTGTGTGTGTGTGTGTGTGTGTGTTCGGCAAGGTCAAGGTGTCGCTCCGCGGGGCTGCCTCTCTATCGAGGAGACGCAGCGACGCGGCAAATGCGACCTAGACGTGAACAAAAGGGAACGACGACGAGAGATTTGGATGGATGACTGTCGTTTTATTTATAGAGAGCCTCTCTCTCTCTCTCTCTCTCACTCTCTCTCTCTCTCTCTCTCTCTCTCTCTCTCTCTATCTCTCTCTCTCTCTGTCCCGCTCCAATTTTCCAATGAAGCGTAGTTTTCCTTCTCTCCGCGCACTGCAGGCAGAGTGCGCGGCTGTTCGCTGCCGGCTAGGCTTTGGAGCCGTTCAAGTCGATAGTCGCGCGGTAAGTTAAGGAAAGTAGTATCCCCCCCCCCCCCGGCCATCCCTGCTCTAACTGACCCATTTACGGGAATGCACTTGGCTGCACCGAGCCCAACAAAAGCAACACCGTCACTGAAAGTGCAAAGAAAGAAAGAGAGGTGTGCAGCGGGAAATGGAGGGGAGGGGGGGGGGGGTAGAAAATACGCAAATGCGGACGCCCGTTTAAACGGGATGCGGGACCGCCGAGGCACGTACAGTGGTGTGCAATTGGTAGAACGGCCGTAACGGTGTCCCCTCCACGACCCCGAGAGGAAACAGAGTGCCAAAATGCAGCCCTCTCAGCGGCAGCGTCGCTAGTCCGTGCCTAGTCTTAGCAGGCCTGGCTGCAAATGACACCGCCTTGAGCGTTACTGCGATGGCGGCCGAGCCTGGCCGAGCCTGGCAGAGGCTGGCCGGCGCTAAACATTTGTAAAAGTGGTTGCAAAACACTCTTGCACTTGCCGGGCACATTCCAGTGACAATGTCTGGGAGAAGGCCGCTGCCCGAGCGGGTTCCAGGCACTCTTTCAAATTAAAGGCCGCCTGCTTTTGCAACAGTGGCGGGTCGGAGGGGGTGGCGAGCGAGCGAGTAGCGATTGGAATGGTGTGGCGAGCAAGGGTCGGTTCGGGCGGCTCCGCGTCGTCAGCCAGGCCGAGGCCGCAGAGGCCACCCCGGCCAGCGAGGCAGCGCGAAGGGACGGCGGCGGCGGCCCTGCGGTCGGCACAGCTTTTGATCACTGACGGTGAAATGGGAAGCGAGTCATCCTAGCGCTGCCGCGCTGCCGCCCTGGCCCGCCTGATCCCACCCCGCTAGCCATATTCCATTTCGGAAAGGATCCCCCCGCCTCGCAGCTCGCAGCGGATGTCGGCTGCACTGTTAACGCCGCGCCCAGCTACACGCAGCAGCCCCCCGGTCGGTACAGTTACACACAAAAATGCCGGCCAAACTTTTTCTATTCAGGAAAGTTTGACAATTTTGCGCCGGCCCGGGCGGGCCCGGGGATAGCCGCGCCGTCCTCCGGGAGTGCTCCGAGGCCTCCAGATGAACCGACCACTGCCGCAGCGCCGCAGCGCCACAGCGCGCCAGCCGCGGTCCAGCACTCGCTCCACCGCACCGCAGGCCGTGGGGCAGGGCGGGGCCCTTGGCGGGGCCAGTGCGTCCGGCAGGGAGGGCCAGTCAGTCAGCTGTAGGGCCAGACGAAGGGCCAGAGGGCAAGCCGCACGGACTGCCGAAAGGTCAGTCAGGGAGCCAGTGGAAACAACCGAAGGGTCAGAAAGAGAGCCACTCATAGAGCCACTATGCATAGAAACAACCGGAGGTCTAGTCAGAGGGCTAGGGACTACGGAAGGGTCAGTAAGAGGGCTAGTCATGAGCAACCGAAGGGTCAGTCAGAGAGACAGTCGTAGGGACAACCGGAAGGCCAGTCAGAGGGCTAGCCGTTAGGGACCACCGAAGGGCCAGTCAGAGAGCCATCCGGAGGGCGAGCCCTAGGGCCAGCCGTGGGGCTAGCTCACTCACACCAACTCCGCACATGTAATCCCTGGCCGGCCTGGGCCGCTCAGACCCGCTGCGCTGGCATATGAGAAAGTACGACCCCAAGTAATTCCCGGATTGGAAAGTTGCTGCCACTACCCCCTCCCCTCCCACCCCCGCCTCGCTCGCCCCCACCACTCCTCGCCGCTTTTCACCCGCGCGCGTCCAGATCCCCGGCAACTTTTTTTTGACAACTTTTCCAGAACTACCTAATTTCTTGAGAATTTCATCGTTTTAAATTTTTCGTTTTTCGGACGCCTTTTGATGAATTTGTGTGCGCTGCGTAAGGGCGGGGTACTCCACCCCCTTCTTTTCCCCCGTGTCTTCACGTACGCCCCCTCCCCCTCCAAATTCCGGCGCGCTCAAGGCCCGGCCAGCCAGCCCGGCGCGTGGCGGCCGAGGCGCCGCCATTCGAGGCACGATTTTCCATGTAACTTGTGCTGCATACAAGCCGGCCATTAACGCCCGTCCTTATCGATTGTTCTTTGGATCCGTGAAGCTATTCGCCCCCCCCCCTCACTCGGGGCCCAGCGGGGTCCTAAGTCCGTTCTCTATAGTCGCCACGAACCACGGGCACGGCGGGCACGGCGCCGGGGCCTTCTTTATTCCGAGGAAACGTAACAAAAGGGCTTCACTCCCCGAGAGGCGAGGCCTGTCGAGGCCCATTGGACGCAGCGAGCCGCCGCCGTGCGGGAAATAGGGTACCCAGCAATGGCGATCTTAAATAAAAAATAAATAAAAGAAAATAAAATAGAGAAGGGTTTTAAGAGGGTCGCGCGCATTGGCCTTTTGAGGCACACGACGCTGGGCTCGTACTGAAAGTGCGAATGGACCTCTCGTCTCGGGACGCACAGTGGACTCTCGGAAAATGGAAAACCCGAAGGCATTTGCGAATGCGCCGGCCGATGGGGCGCTTGGTCCTATTCGACCATTGGTCGTATTGTCGCGGTCTCAAAGAATATCCAAGGCTTAACGTGAGAAACTCTACTATTCAGCCTTACAAATCACTTGGGTCCTCGAGAATGATTTTTTTTCGCCTTGATTTTGAGCATGAAATCTCATCTTGGTATTCGGTTTCACTCTATTTGCGAAAATGTAAGGTATAACTAGCGGGTTATGGAGGGGGGGGAGAGAGAGAGAGAGAGAGAGAGACAGACAGACAGAGAGAGAGAGAGAGAGAGAGAGAGAGAGAGAAACAGAGAGACAGAGAGAGAGAGGTGCACCTGCAGACCGCGTGCGGTCCACTGCGTGGTGGCGTCTCCATCCAGAAGTGTCACTCCGGGCGTTGCTCTTTTGTTCGCGAAACTCCCTGCCTTGCCGGGCGGCAAAATATTGTGCGACTCCGAAGAGAAAAAGAAAGAGAGAGAAAAGGGAGAGAGAAAGGAGCGCCAGGAGAGAGAAAGAGAGAGTTTCCGAACACAGCTTTAGGCTGTTTGCTCACCGCAGACGGCTTACTGGGGAGCTGCCCTGCTGCCCTGCTGCCCTGCCTGCTCACATCAAAGCCCTTTAGACGATCCTCTTTCAGCGCGGAGTTTACGATCACATTAAGACGGAATGTGACGTGGCCCTGTAGTACCAAATTTATGACGGTGGTTCTTTTTTATTTTATTCCACATCCGTGATCCGCTTTCTTCTTGTTCCAGCGAGGCGAGATTGCGCGGGCCGCGGCACCCGCGCCAAATTCGAGTCGGTCCCGGCGGCATGACAAATTCGGAATCGAGTCAGTGCATGGCGGGGCAGCATGCTCATTGCTCTGTCCCTCTCGCACTTATGGGCGTTGCGTGGGGCGTGAGACAGATAGAGAGAGAGAGAGAGAGAGAGAGAGAGAGAGAGAGAGAGAGAGAGAGAGAGAGAGAGAGAGAGAAGCAACGACTCTTCGCAATCGCTCGGCTGCTCGAGCCCTGCTGGGAGCGCGACGCCGCGCCGCGTCCCCGAACGCATTGGCAGTGTGCGGGAGGCACGCGCGGGGTCCCCGGGGCCGCTTTACAGCCACCGATACAGCACCTTGCCGGGGACAAGACCTTCCAGGACCTTCCAGGACCCTCCAGGACCCTTCAGGAGCTTCCAGGATCCGGGCAGGACGCGCCAATCCTAACGGTGTAGGGACATGCACGGAGTACGCGAACGAAAGGGATAGCGGAATTTTTCATACCGTCGGTCCCGAGGAAAGGGGGTTCTAGATGAGTAGCTCCCCCTCGCCTCGCAATGTTTCCGCTGAAAATAACTTTCCACGCCGCTAAGTTTTGAGGACGAGATAAAGCGGTTTTCGTGCCGGGGTGAAGGATCCTACCCAGTTTTCATTTCACCAGAAGAAATTAATTTTCGCGGATCATGCTCTGGGTCATGAGGCGGGCGTGCATGAGGTCTGCAGCCGCGCGCAGTCAACAGGTGTGCGGTGACCGAAGCTGATGCCATTTCAGCGCCGGAAAGTCCGTTTCCAGGAAAAGCGTCCGCTTGGCCGGGTTCAATCAGGCGATCGGGCCTTCTGTAAACATGGACTTTCTTTTGTGTGGCCGCAGCGGCGGGACCGGGTCGGGCACTTACCGTCGTGAGAGTCGTACATATAGATGATGTGCTTCCAGCCGTAGAACTTGACGACGTCGATGATGGCCTGGTGGTACTCGGGCCTCATGCTGATGGCGTAGTCCAGCGAGCCCGAGGACGGCGTCAGGACCTGAGCAGCCAGCCAATTCACTAAGCATACACCGCCAAAAGAGGTCCAGCGGCGTTTCGCAGGGAAATGCCGGGCAGTGCGGGAAAATGCCGCCACGCCGGATGTATTGGGCGCCTCGCAAGAAGAGCGGAATAATGGTGTGGCGCGCGACAGCCGAAATGAAGAGGACCAAATTTATAGAGGAAGCACAAAAAAAAGGCCTCGGCGGACTCAGCGCGCGTGTTTCGAGCAACCCGTGCCGATCCAGCTAGCGCTAGCGGGCGAGGGTGAGGTATTGGCGCCGTGATGGATGACCCCCTCCGACCGCATATAATCACTGCATTTGCTCCGCCATGAAAATTCAGCACAAATTTTATGGCCGGCGAGCCTTTGTCGCTCCATCGGGCGCCATCGGCCGGCCGCCACGGACATGACGACCTTCCATCATGCCCGCCAAATTGGCGGCCGAAACGGCGCCGAAAAAAGACGCGCCGCGTATCGCATGCACTTGGCGCTTGATTTACGCCCCGCCGTTAGCTGCACTGCCCGTCCATTTTATTTTTAAATCGTTTAATTTTTAAATTTTTTTTGCAAGGGAGTTGTTCTATTTCGACGAGTTTCATCAAAATTACCTTTTCCGGAAACCACGGCGTCACGAACGGCATCTGGAAGATGTTGGAGTACGAGTGCAGCGTGTCGAAGGAGTCCGGCGACACGGCGCCCAGCATGGCGAAGACCCCTCTCGAGAACTGGCTGCAGACTGCAATCAGAGGACAACGAAAAGCCAATTTTAGTTCCCCAGTCCAGCCAGATAGAGAAGGCGCACTGTCACTAGAGTACATTTTCTTCGGGGAATGACCAATGCTCAGTGAAAAGAGAGAAAAAAGTGCGTTGTTGAGCGACAATCGGAGAACATAGCTAGCTTAGAGTTTTGAAAAATCGGTTGCTTGCCGCCACCGTCGTCGCGTCGTCGGCGTGCTGCCGTTGTAGCCGAGCTTTCATTTGAGCTTTTAGCCGACATTCGGGATGAGCTTCCAGCCAAGCTTCCCCAGCTGAACTTCCAGCCGAACTTCTGAGCTTCCAGCACATCCAATTTACCAGTCGTTCCTCACGGCGGTAAGCTTCCGACGCGCTAGAGGGCGCTAGTGACGCAAGAACCTCGTTATTTTCGCGTTCTTTGATCTCCCGCGGCGTTTGTCTCATCTCCCCGAATTAGGGATGAAAATGCCCGGAAAGTTTCCGGAAACATTGGAAAAAAACACTGTTTTTTTCCGTTTTTTTCCCTGGCCTCGGAAAAATTGGAAAGATTCAGCCTGAAAAGTAGGCAAAAAGTCGGGCATTTCGCCTGAAAGTAGGCTAAAAGCATACCTTTATCCCTACGTGAACACGATTCTTAGTGCACTCATACTAATTTTACCCTGTTATGATTCCTTCTCGAGCGTTTTTTTGAGCTTGGTGTTGTGAATCTCGGGTTGTCATTGTAAGTGAAGTTGTAACAAAGCACAAAAGTAGTAGATTTCATGTTCATAGTGCTTAGAAACTAATTTTTCCTATTTTTCCTTTTTTTCCAAATTTTCTGGGTTTTTTTCCAACTTTTCCGGTTTTTTTCCGACCCTTTGAAAGTTTCCGGAAAATTTGCATCTCTACCCCGAATCTCATTTTCCCTACATCCTGGCGCACGGCCTAGCCTCGGTCTAGCCGCGGCCTGCCCAGGGCCACGGCCGCGAGGTGGTGCGCGAGACACTCACTAGTGGGGAGGCCAGAGTCAGCACCACGCGGAAACTATCTGCCCTCGACGAACGGGCCGCTCGCCCTCAAACAACCCCTGCACTTTCCAATACCCGCACACTTTCAAATACCCCGCACACCTTGAAACACCCCGCACACTATCAAACACCCCACACACTTTTAAACACCCCACACACTTTTAAACACCCCGCACACTTTCAAACACCCCGCACGCAATAAGTCGCGGTGACCGTCCATCCGGCCGCACCGCGCCTCGACTTAATGAATTCATCTCGAAGGCGGACGCACCTCCTTTAATTCGCACCGTGAGGCCGCCCCCTCCCCGAACAGCATAAAGAGGGCAGAGAGGGAAAAATGTCTCGAGGTGGCGCCCTGGCCCGGCGTGCCCGGGCGTGCCTCGGCGTGCCGGGGCGCCCTTCAAAGTAAGAGAGGTAAACTGGGCCACTTGTCAACAGCGGCTGTAATGAACGGCCTTGCGACGCAGCGCCGCATTTATTATTTGGAGGAGCTTAATTCTGCACAAGGCGCGATTAACCTGCGGAGAGGGCGACTGTCTTCCCGATGCGCAGCCGAGTCGCCGGGATAGAATTGCTGCAGATACCATTCAGAATCGACAAGTCACGCTTTCGGCTTGAAAACTTCAAGTATGATTTTCTCCAAGATTAATCCAGGAACAAAATTTTTTAGGACATCTATTGCTCAGAAAGCTTCAAAGAGCTCATAAAAAAGTTTCAGCAATTTCTCATGATAATGCTCTTAACGCCAATGCTACTTTAAGTGGAGCATGCATGTGTATTTTTACTTAATTTCTGTCATGGAACATTTTGGTTACGTATTTCGTGCAGCGTTTCCTGTCATCCAAATTTGGACGACGAATGAAGCACTGTTCAAAATTGGGTGTTTCCTGACCCAAAATTTGTTGATTACCATCAGAAGCGGTAGATGGACCTAATTGCAAAAGGCTGTAGACTGAAAGGCCCTCCTTGAGATGAGACACCGTGTGGGTCAAGCGACAGAGGGAACGTCTTGAAATGCCCGGGCTGGCAAGGCAGTGGCAGGGCCCCTGTACAGTCCGCTGCAAAAGTGCCGTTCGGAGGCCATCCCTGAATAAGGCAGCTGACCGGCTGGGCTCGGACTCCAGGCACTGACTGGCCGGCGGAGTGGAACACCGTGCAACAGCGGCCTTTCCGCGATACAAGAGGACCTTCATGAAAAATTCGCGTCCCCTCGGGCGGCCTGCGCTGCCGCGCGTTCCCCGATGACCGCTCCATTGCGCGTCCCAGCGTCCCGGCGTCCCGCGGGCCAAGTTTGTGACTTTCACTCAGGCAGGTGCCAAGGACTGCTGGCCGGTGCCGGCTGAGGCCGCTCTGGGGAGCCCCGTGCGAAAAGAGCGAGAACTTATCACCGCCTCCTCCGCGCGATCGGTATACTCAGGCCCTCACATTGCGGCGATATTAAATCACAGAGAGCTGCCGCAGCGGGAGGGGCTACACGCGAAATTAAAGCAAAATACGAGGGAAGAAATTTGGACGTCACAGATGGCGGCACGTTTCCTGCAAGACGGACCGCCGAGTCCGAAACGAGCTAATGGAGGCGCAGCAGGGCAGAGCCGGGCAGAGCCGGGCTGTCGGCAGGATGGCGGGACATGAATGAAACGCTAATTGACTTTAAGGTTTAGTCCGGCTGCAGTTGCACGGCGCGGGATGGACAAAGACTCGCAGCAGCACGGATTAATTTTCTCATTTAATGGAAACGGAAAGAAAGAGAATGATAAGAAGACGCTGAGGGCCGCTTATATATCTTTGCTGGGGAATAAGGGACAGTTTCAATCCACGGACTGCGACAGAATGGGAACAAAAAAAGGTGGGAAAGTTGGAAACTTTACCTGAAAGTGGCACTAAGAATGAGACATTAAATTAACGCAGTCACGGCGTTACGTAACTCGCAAGGCGCAGAGGTAGGATTTTTTTCATCGCTCTCAGTCCCCTTCCGAGTACACATGCCAGGGAAAAGGGGAAAAGTGTCTTGAGGCTACAGGCCGCTTTGTTTCACCCTTTGAAAGGTTTCGCTCCCTTTGCGCATTTTCCTCTTTAATATCCGGCTGAATCAAGATACCATCATATCGCTTACATTATGAAAAAAATCCTCTGTGCAAGCAGAGTGCTGCGCCTGGGCGCGGAGCTTCGCGAGGCACACAGCCAGAAAAGGGAGTTTAATTTATCTCGGTCGTCAAGTTGCTGTTGACCGAGGGCCTTAACGCTGCACGGCTGTTGTCCATCAAAAATCACTTTCTCGTTCCCGGCCGGGCCCCACGCACTACCATTCCACGCACGTCCGGGCTAAGCGCTCGGCCCGGAGCCCATATTGCCGCTGCTTATCCAAGCACGCCAGCTACAAGCAGGAGGCCGGGCTTGGAGGCGCCGTCGCTCGCCAAGGAGGGCAAACCGACATTTTGCAGTCCGTGTCGAAGTAAGTTTGAGGAGGGTGCGAGGAGTAGCTCCCCTTGTTTGCAATTAATATTTTCAGACGTCCTTGACTTCAATTACAAGATATACGCTCAGGTATTTCGTTCAGTTTCCTACGACAACACAAAGTTATAAAATGGAACAATTTCAAAAAGAATAGAACACGTCGCTCAGACGTCTTCGTTTGCTGTCCCGGCCTGACCCGGGAGGAGTTTGTTCGGGATCGCTCACTGTTTGCCAGCAACTTTAGTGTGTAAGTGTGCTTGCTAGTGTGTGTACGGGAGCGACCGGACGGGCCCCGGCAGCAATGACCAGAGCAGGCGGGTGTGTGTTGTGCATGTGTGTGTTTGTCCGGCCGTGTGTGCGTTGGTACATAGCCTACGGCGCGGCGCAGGTGAGAAGCCACAGGGAGACATTCCGAACCACATTCCCCGTCACAATGGGTATCACGCCAGATGCCCTGCACAAGCTCCATGTCCTTGTCGACTGCTGTAGGTACCCGGTGCTGCCATCACCATAAACAAAGTGTCGGTACCGGACATACACGGTTAGACTTGGTCCTGAAAGATTCAGGACCGTAACGCGTCCCTGAGGTAGCCGGACACCCGTTTCCAGGACGGGAGTGGCGAAATTCAACCAGTTTGCCGTTTCGTCCTGGAAACGGGTGTCATTGGCGACGTTTGTCACCCGTTTCCAGGACGGTTCGGAATGTTTGGGGCTCTCGGTCCTGGAAACGAGTCTCGGCGGGCCCAAGACGCCGAAGTAAGACCAGTTCGCACCTGGTAGCTTGCACACTGAACTACATTGTACCGCTGGGCAATGATGCGCCATTCCCGCAGTGCGTTTCATGGAAAAAATCGGCAGCAAAAAGTGGCAATACGAAAGTCTCAAGGAGACCCGCCGATCAGCTTCGGTGTTCTTATGGGAACCGGGCCTTCATCCGACGCATCCCTGCCGCGCAATTCGACAGATTAGTGGAGTTCGTATTGGGCTGGCCCACCCGAAGTGCGCGCGGTTTCTGTGGTACAGTGAGAGTCCAGATTCAGAGGCCTTACCTCAGAGGGGTCACATTGGGTATTTGAACCCGCGACCCCGAGTGCCGAGTCTAGTCAACTCCTCTACCCTGACCGCTCAGCCACCGAACCAGCTTGTCGGCGGCGATGTCGCAACTCCTCTTGAGCTGCCGTTCGAGAAATCTGGTCCCGAAAAAAGGGTACCTGGAGCGGTCTCGAACCCGGGACCTGCCGCTTCCCACATCATGCTCTTAACCACTGAGCCACCGGGACGCCATGGCCCCCGCCCTGCCTGCGCAGGTACCCAATCTTCTGTGGATATACCTCCCCAAGCAATTGGTCGCCGAAAAAATTGTGTATACTACCGGTCCCGAACCCGGGACCTCCCGCTTACCGCGACATGCTCTTAACCACTGAGCCACCGGGACGCCATGGCACCCGCCCTGCCTGCGCAGGTACCCAATCTTCTGTGGATATACCTCCCCAAGCAATTGGTCGCCGAAAAAATTGTGTATACTACCGGTCCCGAACCC